AAAAAAGGCTTTTTTGGATGTAATGGTGCTTTTTTTTATTGTCTGGTTCTTGTAGACATTAACTGATAAAAACCTCCATTGACCCTAAACCCTCCATCTTAGCTTTATGTATATTACCATAGTCTAAAACCTTAAACTCTAAGTTTTCCACCATATGATATTACACCCTTCTATTCAAACTCCATACGCACAATCCCAGTTCTATAATTCAATTTTGGAATTCTTCTCCACAGTCTCAGATCAAATGCAGTGTTCTCTTGAGGGTCTGTGCCTTTCAACACAGAAAGTCTGAAATTCTCAGCATCCAGGGTTCCAACAGCTAGGATGTAAACAATCTCAGCTGTTGGTAAAATAATCTGGGTTTACATCCATCAGGACAGAATTTTGGGTTTGGAAGGTCAAGATCTAATCTCGGGAAAGTTACAGCTGAAACAAATGTGAGAAGGTGTCTGTTGAACGGCTTAAATTTTCCTAGAATCTGCCTGAAAAAAAATTGATATGAATGAGATACCTGTGAAGAACAGGATTTAGTTTTCTGGTTTCTTTACCTTCCCTCTTTTGCAGTTTTCTCTGGCTCTCCACCATCCCTTCCTGCTGTGGTAGCTGTGGGTTTGGCAGCTGCCGAAACCACCTTTGTTCTCCCTTCCAGTGTGATCCTGGTGGGCCCTCCAGGCAGATTTCCTGGAGGATGAGCACAAAGCACACTGACCAGAGGAGCAGGCATGGCCTGGCCTGTGGGAACCAGGGCTCAGCACAGGTGTCTCGTGGGTTGGCTTGTTGTCAGGGCTAGGCAACACTTACAAGTTAATTGTTTTGCAAAAAGTGTGTAATTAAGCTGCAAAGGCCTGTGGAATGATGCCAAAGTGAGATGTATGGGATACAGAGGTTGTAATGTAATGATCTCATCAATGTAAAATTGGGATAACATATGATGGAGGCATAGGTTTTTGCCATTCTGTACAGTGAGCAAGATTTTGATATGCTACATAGTTATTTTTAGAAATGCTTTGCTGAGCATTTTTATTTTTGTTTGTAGTGTATTTCACATCCTTTGGCTCATGAAATCTGTATTTTTATGCCATTTGTAAACTCTTAATGAATAATGAAAAAAATGACAGCATTAGGAAAACTCTGAAGTGGTGCTATCATCATATAGTGTAGGCTTAATGCTCTTCAATGGAAATAAATTGCAGAACCCTATGATTAGGGTGTGCATTTTTTCACTGGTGTAACAGAGATTACTGTTAATTTCTGTTAATTCTGTTAATTTTCTTATCTTATCCCCTATCAGTCATATCTGACCTTTGGGCATTCAATCTCTTGTGGTAAAACAATAATAAGTGGGAAGCACTGTACTTTTGAGAAGGAAAAAAAGCGCTTTTTTTTTTGGTATGTTAGTGGTGTTGTTTTAAAGATAAAGAGTGGGTGTAGCCCTGGGATAGCCCTATCTGGTACTGGCTAGGGTGGGGTAAAGTGCTAAATGGTCTCTCAGCAATACTTGTAGGTGGCTTGTTGTTCTTCTTGAATCCTAGAATCATGAGGGTTGGAAAAGACCTTGATTAAGGTGATGAAAGACCTTGAGGGCAAGATGTGGAGGAAGTGGCTGAAGTCCCTTGGCTTGCTCAGCTTGGAGAAGAGAAGGTGAGGGGTGCCCTCATGGTATCCCACACCTTCCTCATGGTGACCCTCACTTTATTAAAGGGGAGAGGTGAGGGTCCTTATCACACCTTGAGGTGTGCACAGAAGTGCTCAGAAATGTAGAAAACATGGTTTTCTCCAAACTGGATTGATTTTTAACTTCTTGCTCTGGCATATTGGAAGCGTTCCTCACTTCCAATAGTTTCTGCTACTGGAAAAGTCCCTCATCAGTGATGGCTGCTGTAATGAGGTTACTGCTAGATGGATTTTGGGACGGTTGGAGGTAGTGGTTCATCAGTAGGCTGAGATATAAGAGAATAACAGGTAATCTAGAGGCAGGAGGAGCAGCTACTGGTGTGTGCCAGTACATGCTGTGGGGAGCTCTCATTGTGGCTTTCCTGTTGATTTGAATTGGTTGTCTCCTCCTTCAACAAGTGTGTTTAGCTGTTGATAGATTCAGAAGTGCAATGTTTTCCTGCCTGCCCTTTTTTCCATGATTCAGTCCTGGTTTGCACAGTTTTTGGTAGGGAGCTGTAGTGCTTGGTGCCATCCTAACAATTCTCAAGCACACAGTCCGTCCTTCAGTTTCACCTCCATGTGTTGTGTCTGTCTGGTTTCTACCAGGATGCTGAATTTATGGCAGTTTTAAACAGATGCTGGCAGTCAATATCTTTCCATAGGCATAGAATAAAAGAAAATCTGCTGCAGTGGAATGCCAGCATCACACATAGGTTGCAGCATATTGTATAATTTTCTTAATGCTTCAGTAACTCTGGAGCTTGAATTCATTAATGGGCATGAACAGAGAAGCTGGCAGTTGGTAGGGAATGGAGAGAAAAGAACTGAAGGACTGGAATAAAGAAGTGGCTAGAGGATATTTTTATTTGGTGTTTTATCTTTGCAGTATTTGGACTTTTCTTCACTTCTTGTCAATATGAGGTAACATCAAAGCTTTTTCCAGGTTTATGTTGTCTCTCTGCTTGTAATCATTCTCATTAAACCAATGTGTGAAGAAATGTGTGAAGAATGGTGCAGTCTGTGAGAGGATTGATGCTGACAGGTTTTGCTGTTTTGGAAAAGCAGAAAACATTGACTTGCTTAAGTCCCCTTTAGGACTTGTGCTAGATTAGTTCTAGGACTAAGTGCTAAAAGAAATCCTCCATGAAGGCTTTGCAGTCATTTTTCAGTTCTGGTGAAACAAGACAGTCAGAGGTGCAACAGGTTGGGTAATGATGACTTCACCAGCAGAGATATTTAAGCTGCAGGTTGCCTAAAGTCTGGTTTTGCAAAGCACATCAGCTAGTTCTTAATTTCAGGCACATGTTTGAATCCATTCTAGCTGAGCAAGATTCATCTTATCTTCTTTCCTACCTTCTGTTAAAAGTCTGCCAGACTCACAAGGAAGGAAAAGCCACCAAAACACAGCCTAGAACACAATGTGCCTTCCAACACAGGGTGGAGCATGGAGAGTATCAGAAACCAGGCCGCACCAGTCTCTGAGGACGCATCAGCACCCAAGGCCCAAGTACAAAAGTGTCCCTTCTGTGCTGCAAACCTCTCCTGGTGGGTCAAATTCCCTGTTGGATTCTGCAGCCTCTTGTCCAGCCTGCTGACCTTCTGGAGCAGCGCCATAAAAGTGGATTGGGCTCCTTGTTCCCCTGCTTTTCCCTCCTTTCCATATGTAGCCCTGTGTCTGCCTCCCTTTGCTATTCTCCAGATCACTTGTGTACAAGTTAGCCTGTGTAAAGTGGAAGGTCTGGGGATTTTGGTTGTGTGGAGGACAGAGCTCTGTTCTGTTGCCCATCCTGGAGCTGCTTCCCTAAACCAAATTGCTTCTGGAGACTATAATTTTTCTTGCATCTCAGTGAAGGTGATAGTAATGGCTGTTTTTCACCATGGCTTAATAAAACTCTTAAATACAGGGATAAAATGGGAGATCTCACATTGTTTTGGGTTTTCTTATTGTTTTTTTAGAGAGAGAAAGTGCTGAACATAATTCCAGCACATTTCTGTGGAATGCACACAGGAGCCTGAAGGAGCTGGTCTCCAATCAAGTACTGTGGCCTGTGCATATGGAGGATGGTGGTGTAAAAACTTATGAGGAAAGAAAACTGTAGAAAGAAAGAAACTTAGATTCAGATAGGTGCAGCATGACCCATTCTCCTCCCTTGTGCTGGAAGGTCTCCTGCTGCTGGCTCTTGTCCATGTGGGCTGATCCCAGTTGGTGCTGTTGGCTCTGCTGACCCTTGGGTTCTTGGGTGGCTGGAGCCAGTGTCCAGCCCATTTTATGTGTCTCAAGACCTGCTCTGCTTGCTTTTCCACACCATCATGTTGGGTTATTCACAGGGCTGTGGAGGAGGTTGGCATCCCCTGTGTCTGATCCAGATGTGCTGCAGCTGGAGGGCAGGATTTAGCTCCATGTTTTCCCTCTGCTTGGCTATGCAAGGGGACACAGATTGGCATGCTACCAAGCGCTAGGACTAAGGTTTGATCTATTGTTTTGACATGGGGGAAGGGAAAAAGAAACCCCACCACCTTAAATTTTACCCTTGAGTGAATCTTAATCTTTGAATTAGTACAAATGTGAGTGTTCCCATTCTGTGATTTTAGGATAACTGTAATCATTTCAAGAAAACAAAGCCTAGGAACATTATGGTGTTGAATGCAGAGTAAACTGGTGTTTGAAATGATGTGTTGAGCATCTGCACATGTCAAAAAAAGAAGCGTTTAATGTCCTATTTTGTTTTGGATCTTTCCCCCCCTCTCCTCTTGTTCATCCCTGTTTTATTTTCTCCCTTTTGTGCCTGTAATTGCACACGTTATTAGAGCTGGCAGGATGAGCATCTCCAGATGCATCCTGCAGGAACACAGCCAGTGCTGACTCTATTCCCATGTCAGACTGCATGCCAAGGCAGTGAAGCTTGCTTGTCAAAACCCATTCCCTTTCTGCACTGCTTCTAAACCCATCTTCTCACACAGCGTTTTGACACAGGGTGACTCATGATAACCTCAAGAACTGTCCCAGGCTCAGGGATGTGTCTTTCAGTATGTTGAGACATCCCTGGTAAAAGTAGGATTTTGGAATAGCATGGCTAAGGCAGCTTTCCTTGTTCTTCTGTCAGATGAAACAAGTTGAGGGGTTTAAAATCTGTTGTGTTGAACCTTTCACTGGGTTTCATGTTTGTGGTTTGTTGGTTTTTTTTGGTAAATGTTCTCTGAATATTTATGCACTCTGAAAACAGCAACAAAAAAATTCACTTGTTTTACCAAACTTAATGCATTTTGTGTTGAGATTTGTAGCAACAAGATAACAACTCTTCATTTTGGGGAAGAATATGCTAATTTTCCTTATTATTTTACAGGTGTCAGGCAACAGCATGTCAACGATGCTCCTCCTACAGGATCTTTTCCTAACTGGAGATCTATACTATCACCAACACGGCCTTCCACAGAAACCAAGACCCCCTCAATAGCTGATCTTTCCCTGGGACAGACTTTGGAGAACGCAGACTTGCTTCAGATGATCAGGACAACGCTGACTGGCGCCCGTGCCAGGACTTTGGATCAGATGCACCTGTCGCCCTCCCTGTACCAGGGCAGTGGGAGCAGTGCACCCCAGGAACCCGCTGAGGTCTCGGCCGAGTCGCCGCTGAGGCCGTCGCCTCACGATGCAGATGACACAGCTGCTCTAACAGGTTTGCCTCAGCTTGGTATGTTTGTCACACTGCCCACCACACCACCAGTGACACATTTGGGTACAGCTGTGCCATCCCAGCCAGTGCCATTAGAAACCACCCTCCATTTGCAGAGAAAGCACATCAGGATCAGACATGCTTGCCGCTGTTCCATCACCATCATTCTCCTCATTGGTAATCCAGTCACCTCATGCCATTAACTTTTCTAAACCAGCTGTACTGCCCATCCAAGTGCCTTTGTCTGCAGATCCTGAAGGTTTCTTCAGCACAGATTCAGCTAGCTCACAGGTTAGTGAAAGCAGGAATAGTGCTCTAAGCGTGGTGCATTCCAGTGTGGTGAATCACAGGAGGGTCCCAACTTGTTTATGGGGGCCATGCTTTTAATTGGATCAACCACAGAGCATTTCACAGAGTTAGTGGGGAAAGGGTTTCCTTTGGAAAGGACCTTGTTGTCATCTGTATATTCTGATATTCCTGGGTAAAAAAGAATCAGTCTTCCCTGACAGTAATTTCTAAAAGTTTGTCACGGTTCCTTGGTGAGAGCATGTAAAATGTCTCTTCTACTGGGGCCATTTAGGGCAGCACTGACTGGCACAATCAGTGGTACCACTCTTCTGTCATCATGAGTTTTTCAGGATAAAGCAGCTGTTCCCACATCAGTCTTCCATGCTGCGGGTACTCCACGTCCAACACCACCAATGAGTCACCCTCAGTCTTTCACAGCACTGACTAATTCCACTACAGCCTCTCACCCTGCACCTTTCATGTCATCAGCCTCCAAGAGCTCGGCTGAGGTCTCTAGCTGAGCACAGAGTCCTCCCTTTTACTGCCAATATCGCTTTTTCCAGATGCAAAGCACGCTCGCAGTGCAGTGCTGCCAGTAGGAGAATTTAGAAGCAAAACAGATTTTCTCTTTAGAAATGCAGCACACTCCTCTCCAACAAGCCCAAGGTCTCCCTTGCTAATGGAGACAAATGAGGTGTTTACTGGGGCAGCACGCACAGCCAGTCCCAGGGTGGCAGCAGCCAACCAGGACAGGCTGCAGATCCCTCCTCCTGCTGCCTCTGAATCAGAATTTTGCAGAAATTGGACTGATGGAACTTAGCAGGCAAATAGCATGAGACTCCCAGCTGCTTCGGCCCTGCTCTCCCAAATCCTGGTGGCTTTCCTGTGGCAAGGACAGCTCAACAGCCTTTCACAAGAGGAGTGACAGCAAAGATGTCCGTGAACTTTAATGCTAATGATGTTCTGCGTTATGGAACTCAGCTTCTCAAAGTTTCTCCAGGTATCCAAATCTGTGCACTCCTCACAGGATCAAGGATACTAGACACTGTTTTGGAGATGGCCATGATGACTCTTGATCTAGCTGCAGTGCCATTAATTACTTCCCCTGTATGCCTTTCCAAACCTGAACCTGCTACCACAAATACTTCTGCCACTACTGCTTTTGTGACTGCACATCTTCCACCTGGAGATGCAGAAAGTTCAGATGTAACTGCAAATGAAGACAGAAGGATGGGAGTAACCACTCATGTGAACCCACATGCAGAATATTCATCTCCAAGAACTTTAAAGAATTTAACCTCTGGTCAGGCTTTGCATTCAGTTGATAAAAAGCCACTGGCCTCTGTCATGCCTCCAGCGTGGGGTACACTGCCATCACTTGTTTCCATGACAACAGTGACGGGCAGCCACAGTTCTGGCTCTTCCAGAATTTTGAATGCAGGCTCTGAAAGCAATTTAGATCCTGTCAGCCTTCCTGAAGTTGTAACTTCAGCTTCTACGTGGACCAATAAAGCATTGCTGCTGTCTGCAGCTGCTGTCTGCAGCTGGCATTAGTATTCCTTCGGTAAAAACTTCAGTCCGAATGGAAAAAAGGGAAGTTGCTCCAAGTACTTTTCCATTGGAAGATGAGTGCTATGCACCATACTCAGTAGTGTCAAGTCTGCAAAACAAAATTAATACAAATCAGCAGCCTCTCTTCTCCACCCCTTCAGCAAACTATACATATACATCCTATAGTCAAAACATTTTAGATTTACCCTTTCCTGGAAAGAATAACTTTTCAGAATTTGATGTAGATGCTCTTGCACTGAAAACATCTCCCGTTCAGTATTCATCCATTGCTACTGCATTGACAATGCCTGAGACTCGGCAAAAAAAAGCATGGAAACACAGCTGAAAACATTGCTGATTTCTTCCGTGTTGGAGAGGTTCCTATCAGTATACATGAGAAAGAACCTCTCCATTTCCATGTGCCTCCTGTTAATGCTACAGGTGCTCTCCCTAGCTCTCTAGAATCCCAAACGATGCTGGGATCCCAAATGATGCTGGAAAGATTACTGATGGAAACAGGCCCAGCAGCAGTGTTGGTTTTTCAGCTCACTGGCAGCTTGACTACTTCAGCCCGAAACAGAAGCAGTGTCACCCTCAGCACACTGCCAGCCTAGTCCCCCTTCCCTGTCACCAAGCCTTCTGGTTAAGAAGGCTCAACTCTCTCCCAACTCTCTTGAATAGTTTAATCTGAGAAGACACTGGTTCTGGGAATTTCCCAGAATTTGCAGACAACCAGTTGAGTCCCCTGGTTATTTCTTTACGGCTGATAAATATCCAGCCACATTCAGTGAGGAGGAGTGGGACACAAGTGCTACAAGTCATAGTCTAGATCTAAATAACTTATCTAATAAAGCTACCAAGGGCATCCCATTACAAACCCCTACCACCAGTGCTCCGCAGTCAAGTCATCATAACTTCTGTCCATGCATCACCAACACAGATAGAGTCTCCTTTTTTGCCAACAACCAACTTTACCCATTCTGTTCTTGCAGTGTTATCTGGAGTATCTTCTGGTGCAATACCTACAGTAGAAACTTCAGAAGCAAAACCACTAACAAGAAAATCATCTCCAGCTTCACCAGTGCCAGCTTCTTCCTTCTTTTCTCTAGGCACTGAAAAAAACACCCCTTTGCCATCCGTGATGGCTTTAAGCACACCGATCCTGACACTAACAAAAAATAACACTGCCACAAAACTGGCACCGGATCCGAGCTCAGTAGGAACACAGGCAGATTTTCCTTTTGCAACAAGAAACGTGACTGCCTCACCTCTGGACACGCCGGCTCTGCTCATAACCCCCAAGAGCAGCACGGCCACAGCTTCCACACTCGCACCCACAGCCCACGTACCAAGGCAGATAGAAACAACAGTAACTGACACCCAGAAGTTCCCGAGCTCAGACATCACCAAAAGGCCAACCCCATCCCCACTGACAATGACAGCAGCTTTGACATCTATTACAGCATCAGCGAAAGCAACTAGGCTCCCCCCTCCTGCCGTGGAACTCAGCCCTGCTCCTCCCGGCACCACGGCAGCCGCCGCTTTCGCTAACATGACGGCAGCTCCCTCCCTGGATTGCCGGCTCTCTGCCAACATGATGGTGAAAACAGGTACGTGCAGCCTCCGCTGAAGGGCTCCCCTGTGTCTGTGAGGTGTGAGACGCACACCCCAGTGTCCAAGAATGTGGGGCAGCAGTGATTGATCCGCTATGCTGGCGAATCAGATGGGTACGGGCAGGGTTGTTAGTTGGAAATGGTGTTGGCTTTGCTTGTGGCTGGGTTTTGACATGAATGTGTCGAGTGAAGTGGTGAGATCAGGTGCTGTGGATTCAGGGGTCACTGCGGGACCACCTGTGTGTTGGGACAGCCCTGTAAGCTGGGATGGTTTGGTGCCCGCTTTGCAGTGAGGGGTCTGTGCTGCTGGAGAGGACAGTGCAGTGACCTGCCTTGGTCCTCAGCCCTGTTTATCCACAAAACCCTAATTCTGTTCTAGTATGAACACCTTATTCTATCAGTACAGATCCATTTGAAAATTATGTTTAGCATTTAGACTTGCACACTTTGAAAAGGGAGAATTTTGAGTTTTCCATGTGAACAGTGCCACTTCTGGCTCTGGCTGCTTTTTCATGGGCAGCTTCTCCTTAGCTGTAAGAACTCTGAATTAAAGGGGCCTGGAGAGGTCCCTTGCCCAGGCTTCTCATGGATTCCTTGTGGCAGCACAGCACCAGAAGATGTGTGTGTTTGGGAGATCTCAGCAAAGAATAGGTGCAGAAAAGAGTTTGTGACCTTGCATGATGCAGGCTACAGTGAAATAAGCAGCTTTTGGACCTAATGTGTGTTTGTTAGCTGCTAAATATCCTCGTAGGTAGCGTGATGAGTACTATAGCTCTTTCTAAAGATAAAAGTAGCTTGTGTACATTCTATGATTGAAAGTACTCAAGCACAGCTAAAAAGCTCTTCCTGAAAATTATAAGAGAAAAATAAGAAGATAGTGATAGTTTTGTTAGAGAAAGCATAGAGATGCTTTCTTAATAGAAAATAATTGCAGCAGTGGAGCAGCAGATTTATTTTATATAACTGTGGCCATGAAGATGTGAAGCCTGCCTGTGCAGCTCTGGCTCAGTCCCCTGGGAATGCTGTGCCAGTCTGTCCTCAGGCAGTGAGTGGCCTCACGCCTCCTTGGAGGGGCAGCATGGCAAAGACTTGTTGTTGCTGCTAATGAAATTGCATTTGTTAGACCTTGCTCTGGAATCATGGAAACAATGGGCTATTGCCATGGGATGGATAGGGAACTCAGGAGCTGCTGAGCCCCTGCCGTTCTTGTCTTTGGAGCTGCTGCTAATCCAGGCTGCTTTGATGATCCCTGCACAGCCAGCCCAATGAAAAACAATTAAAGAAAGCAAACAAGAGCGTGGTGATGTGTCAAACCACCCTGTGGCTTTTGTTGCTCCACAGTTCTGTTTCTGAACACAAGGAGGATGATGATCAGCAATGCCTTCAGGGAGAGTGTGAGAAAAGGCCTCAACCAAGTGCTGAGACGAGCTTTCAACCAGAATGTCAGTGCTCAGGTAAGCGTGCTTGGCTTTCCCTGCTTGATTTCACCAAAACAGCTGTCCCACCAAAGAACCACAGCTGCCTGCAGCTCCAGTGGTGTCCCTGGATGCAGGAAGCCTCTTGGAGGAGAGCTCTGAGATTTTCCTATGGAGAGCAGGCAGAGGTGGCAGCTACTCTGGTCTCTAAAAATATCAGGAATACTCCAAAGCTTTTAGTGGTTTATTTGATGATGAAGAAGAGAAAAATGCAGACTTGTTTTTAGGGTGCTCTGGGAAATGGCTACTGACAGCAGTTTCCTCTTCCCCCTGCAGCTCAGGAGTGACTTCTGCTCAGGGGCAGCCAGGTGCTGCTGTGCTCAGCCTGGATCAATGGCAAGAACATGGCTGGTAAATGGGATGTCAGTGCTGTCAGTCTGCTTCCTGCTCTGAAAACCCAGTACCTGACAGGTGCAATTTCACAGGAACCAGAATCCCAAGCAGGGAGAAAGCGTGTTTTATTGAAAATAAGTGGAAGTGATGTGTTCATCACTTTGCAGCTAAATTGCATGAACCTCTGCACTGCTGTGTGTGGGAGCAGGTTGGGTGGGCTGCCAGAGCCCTTTTCCTGGGGACAAAGCTTCCTCTGGAGAAGCACTCAAGCTGGGGTTTGTGTGGGGTCCAAGCCTCTGGGAAGGAAAAAAGTAATTTTTCTCAAAACAGAGGTTATCCAAGTTGATTTTGGTCCTCACACCATATTGCTGCAAGTGTGGAGGATGTCAGTTGCTTTGGGCATTGTGTGCTCCTTGGCAGCAGCAATAAACACTGCCAGGTTTAGTTCCCTACCTTTCTACAAATTGAGAGAAGCTGCCCTCTTCTAACAGAGGAAACCAGCTAAAACTTAATGAGTAGAACCAGTTCCAGGGCTAAAGCTTTTTGAAAAACACTGAATTTTGAGGTAAAACTCAGGTCATGTTTTGAGTTTTGACTCAGTGTGTCTGTTCTTGTGGTTTGGCATTTCCACTCATATAGGTCTGCTCATAGACTTAACCATCTGGAGGGTAACCAGTACAGGAGGAGATAGGAGACAGCCCAATCAAATATTGGAAATTTTTGTCTTTCAAAAAGTCAGTGAACTTTGGGCACAGAGTAGGAGCTGGAAGCTCTCTGTGTTTTTTCACATATGTGTAAAATGTCCCTGTATCTGTGCATGGGTGAAGGGCCAGCCTGACCTGGAGCTTTGCAGCTGTGGTAGCAGTTCTGCACTCCTTTAATTTGGAGCCTATGCTGCATGGGCTGAGCCTAAAACTCTCTGAGCAGCTCTGCTAATACCGTGTCTGTCGCTGTTGTATTGAGGATGGATGAATAAGGTGACACATGGACTCCAAACTCTCAGAAGGCAAAATGCTATTTTATTAAAAACCACACACTTTTTGTAGACAGTTACAATACAGGTGGACCTGACTGCTCCTCAATCAACATCCCTCACACTATTGGCTAATTAGGCACACCACTGTCTTGTAAATATCTTACGAGAAAACAACACCAGCTGCAAAATTAAGAACTGTTTTAATTCCTTCTCTGAACTTTCCCAAAACTTTGAAGAGCAATTCCTGGGTAAGATTATCTGACTTTCTTCTCTGACTAGTTCTCAACATCCACACCATGTCTGATATGACACTAACTGATCCCACAGGGTTTCTAGGGGATTGCAGGATAAAAACCTTGCCAGGGACACATATTCAGGGTGAGAAACCCCATAAACCGCTGTCATTGTTTAGTAAGAAATGACACAGAGTCATCATTACTTCTTTTATATGCTGTTTTATACACTGTTCTGATACAGGTGGAGCTGATTGGTCATTCAACCAATCAATACATTTCACCTGATTGGCTAATTAACAAGACACCCATTTATAAACAATCTTATGAGAATAACAAGAAAACAGACATTAGGAAAACAACACCTGCAGGTTGTTTTTAATAACTGGATATCATTGTTTTTCTTCAACTCCCTAAAGTCTCCCAGGCTGATTCTGGGAAAACTTATCTAGTTTTCTCACTCTCTGACCAGGCTGTCACATCCACAAACAGCATCTGAACTGCTGGTTTCTCTGGGTCTGGATTGAAGGCACTTGAGACAATAGTTCATGTTTGGATTCAGGTGTTTATTATTCCTTATCAGTAAAAATCAGTCTCATTACTGTGAGTTCAGCAGCTTTTCAACAGAAGGCACAAAATGGCCAACAATCTCTTGTAACAAGATCTCTTAAGACTAAACTATCCAATTAAGAACTGACATCTAGATTATTTTCCCTTTTAACCCAATAACTGATCTCAAAGATATCATGTTTCTGCCCAATTACAGAATGCCACCCAAAACCATGAAGAAGAAGAAGCATGAAGGAGAAACCCAGGACAACACCCTGTGCCCTCCATCTTGCTTCCATCCACAACATACTGAAAATCCCAAAACCTCAATTTCTCACCAAGTGATACACCCACACTACTCTCTATTATCTGTTTCACACTTTTGTGGATTCTAGTCTATCTTGAAGTCTAGGAAACTTTCTCCATGAATGAGGTCAAGGTCAGGGCACCCCAGAAATATTCCTGGCACCCTGGCTTTCTACAAACTGCAAGCAAAATAATAAAAAAAAATTAAAACCCATGCTGCCCTGTGTGTTTTAGGTTGAAATCCTGGAGCAGTCGAGTAACCTGACCGTGGGGTACTATGTCACACGAGGCAGGCTGGTTTTCACGCCGGCTGCCGTTGCCGAGAAGCTGCTGGCCTACGGCCTGGCCAACGCCACGGCCGACATGAAGCAGCACGTGCCACACCTGCAGGCCCTGGTGGCCCTGGCCCTGCCCTGGCAGCCCCTGCCCGCCTACCACTTCCAGCTGAAGACAGGTGAGTGAGGGAAACCTGCCTGGGCTGGGTGTGTGCCCGTGATGCCCTCTCTGGGCAGGGGGGTGGCAGCAGGACAGGCTCTGCTGTGGGGTCAGGCATCCTGTGGGCACCCCTGGGCTCGGCTCTGCTGCCAGGGCACTGCTGTGAGTGTGATGCCTTAGGGTTTTAGCTTTTGTATTTTTTGTATATTTTAACCCTGCAATTCTTTGTGTATAACTCTGAACTCCATATAGAATGTTAGCTACTGTTCTCCAAGTTTGGTTGGGTAAAACAATTCCTCTCCAGGCCTGGGAATCAAGGACACCCCTGTGGGCACCCCTGTACTCTGTTACCAGGGCACTGCTGTGAGGGTGATGCCTTAGGGTTTTGTATGTTTTGTATATTTGTAACCCTGCAATTCTTCAGTGTGTAACTCTAAACTCCATATAAAGTGTTAGCTACTGTTCTCCCAGTTTGGTCGGGCAAAACAATTCCTCTCCAGGCCTGGGAATCAAGGACACCCCTGTGGGCACCCCTGTGCTTGGCTCTGCTGCCAGGGAGCTGCTGTGAGGGTGATGCCTTAGGGTTTTAGCTTTTGTATGTTTTGTATATTTGTAACCCTGCAATTCATTAGTGTGTAACTCTAAACTCCATATAAAGTGTTAGCTACTGTTCTCCCAGTTTGGTCGGGCAGAGCAATTCCTCTCCATGTCTGGGCATCAGGAACATCCCTGTGGGCACCCCTGTGCTCTGCTGCCAGGGCTGTGGATGCTGCTGTGAGGGTGATGCCTTAGGGTATTAGCTTTTATATTTTTCAAACATTTGTGACCCTGTAATTCTTTAGTGTGTAACTCTAAAGTCTATATAGAGTGTTGCTACTGTTCTCCCAGATTGGTCAGGCAGAACAATTCCTCTCCAGGCCTGGGAATCAAGGACATCTCACTGTCTCAGACCCCAAGAGTGAGTTGGGGGCGGTAAACTTGGGGTAAATGGCTTCATTACCTGAAGCTGTAATTGGATGATTAACCCCCAGTATGCAAATGGACTAAACTTACAAAAGTATGAAATCCAAGACTTGTCATCCATTTTTTTTGGGTATAGCTCTGAAGGGGGCTTTGTCTGCCTGAAATGTACCTGAAGATCCTTCAATAAATACAACTGCATTTTTTTCTCTTAATTTTGTCTGGTTTTAGGTAGTCCCAAAAAAGCATCAAGGGGATGTGGCAGTGCAGAGTAATTGTGGGTCACTATAGTACTAGGAGAGGGCAGAGTGCTCTGAAATGATATATTAAAAGATAAAAAAATATTTCTTACATGTGTGCTTACAATGTTTGTATACGCATATGACAGTTACAAGTACATTTTTCCCAGAGTGAAAATAAAACAGAATGAGAATCAATATTATGATTAATTATATTTTGCAGGACCAGATGACCTGCAAGATTTAAGATTATAACTTGTTTTTTAGAATGACTTTGATTATTGCCTGTCTCTGAGCTAGTATATGCACAGTGAACAGGCCTTACCATCTTATATATCATTGCAGAAGCAATCTCCATTTGTTTGTGGAGAGCATCAGCTCTAATAGTGCAATTTAATTCTTACATTTTATCTTAATTGAGGCTAATTTAGTGCAGTTCCTGAAGTGGCATAATCTTCACCTGCTTAATGTGTAAATTGATCATTTTGTTTTTGGTGCTGCAATGAGAATAGTTTGTCCAAATGCTAATGCCTTCCTTTTTTCCAGAGCTGCAGTTTGTGGGTCAAACAGACAACATTCAGTCGTGCAAATTTGTTCAGACCATGGAGCAACGGCTCCAGAGAGCATTCCAGGATGCTGAAAGAAAGGTCTTAAACACCAGCAACAACTTAACTGTTCAGGTACAGTGTTGTGTACTTTGCCTGTTGCCAACCCCTCCTGGTTGTTCTTTGCCAGGTGTATGTTTTATTCCAGCAGAGTCCTTTGCTAGCCACTGTGGAAGGAAGTTTAGGTTTTCATCTGCAATAAGATCGTTTATGCATTGCAGGAAAACTTACAGATGCATGATTTATAGAAGGCTTTTCATGAATTGGAGTTTTACTGCTTGCACTTCAGCCATATAAATGAAATTCCAACTATAAAAACACAGTCTTCCAAATTTATGTTTTTACTGAGCATGTTATTCTGATACATTAGTTGCTTTCATTGAGGCTATTCAGGTATAAAGATGGTGCTAGGCACAGTTGTTTTTGAGATGTGAAATAATGGAATAGATTTCTTTTTCATGGTATGCATTTCAGTTTCATACTCATGGGCACAAATTCACCACAAATTTTTACACACCTTTATATGTATAGTGGGCCAACACTCTAACATTCTGTGCCACACTTTAGGACTAGAGAAATGATCTCCTGGGCAATATTATGATATCTTTTTGATTTCTGATAAAACTCTGTGTATGGATTGTGCTCCTCAGAAGGAGAAAATTTTGCGGTCAGGGCTCTGCTAATTATTGTGGTGCTATTTCTTGTGAGTTTGAGCTCAAAGTGGTGGAGCTCAGAGAGGCAGCAAAGCACAGGGCAAGAGAGGGCCTGCCACAGTAGGTACAGGGATTATCAAGTTTCTCAGGGGAACTTCATGGTGCCTGATTTGCTTGTGGTGGAAGTAGTTTTATGAAGATCTCACAAAGCACCTAAGCAATTTTGGAAAGAGTCCTAGGAGAAGGTAGTGACTGTTTTTGTGGATATTGCCAATTTAAGGAGAGACAGGATGGAGGTCCTGGAGGCAACATATAGGCTGGGAAGTAAGAGGCTCAAGGGTGTGATCTTCATGATAAATTATTTTGAAGTTATTCCAGTATCATGCAAAAGACTAAGTCCATGCAACAAAACACTCTATGAGAATTTGAGATTAATTGAAAACTGGGGAAGAGTTCTGGAGCAGACAGAGCCAGTTCAGAGAAGGTATTGCTGCCTTAGGAGAGTAGAGGGAAGGTGGATAAAAGGCATGAAGCATCTTCCATGCAAGGAGAAATGAAATTGGCCATGGCTTTCCAGCCAGTAGTGGATCAGGAGTGGCCACTTAGAGTTTCCCATAACAGAACTACTCAATTTTAAATAAAAAGAAGCATCCTTTCACACAATGTGTATAAAGATGTCCAGATGTAACTGGAGAAAAAAAAAAAGGAAATTACAAAAAAACATTTGGCCAAAGATATAGAATAAAAAGTTATCAACCCTTTTTGAACTCAGGCATATGATTTATGACTCTGACACAGCTGTGAGATAATCTTACACTGTTGAGAGCCATTTATTCCTCTTGTCCTGTGCTAATTCTCCAACCCTCTGCTCCAGCCATCTGTAGGTGAACATTGGCTAGGCAGACCTTGGGCTCTTTTGATGCTTCTTTTTGTATCATGGTTTTTCTTTTAACTTGGTGATCCAAACCATAAAAATGGGGTATTTAAATAACATTTATGAATGCTGTCAGGCCTACCTATCAGTAGCCAAATAACCCCATCCCTCTTGCCCTTGGGCATAAGTTTTTCAAGAAAACATGTGGGTTTTGTTCCTGGTATTGGAGAATCTCATCCAGTACTTGCTGAATGGAATTGGTCCTCAAAACATAGTAATCAGATTGGGGCTCAGCAAGGGACTGGCACTGAGCTAGAGTGGGGAGGAGCACAGAGATTCATATGATGTTAGGAACACAAAGACATGATATCCCTTAATTTCATATGAAAAATGTGTGGGTCTATAAACCAGCAGTAGGAAGGCAGCAAAGACAGCAAGATAAACAGCACAATTTGTCTGCATCAAGCACTGGGTGGTTTTTCTGATAAGCCTCCTCTCCCTCATCCTACATTCCCTAGTAAAAACAGGGGAAAACATTTTCAGTCCTGGCTGCACCTTTTCTGCCTGCTGCTGTTCTCCAGGAACCCTGCAAGTGCTAAAGCAGGGATTAAAGTATCACACAAGTCAAGTTGGATGAGATGTAGCTAATCCATTCTTCAGGTTAACATTTCCCCAGTTTCTTCGCATTGCCTTGGTGGTTTGTGTTGTTTTTTTTTTTTTTTTTTTAAATAATGAGCTGAACCACAGCAACACATTATTTTTGCTTCTGTTTCAGATTTTGAACACCTCCAATGTCTCCCAAGCTGTCACTCTGTTTTATGTAGTGAAAAATCAAAGCACAACTCTAAATGGCACTATTTCCAGCAACCTTCTTAATCAGCTGTCAGCTGAGCTGGTGGGTTTCTACCTCACCTACCCACCTCTCACCATTGCTGAATGTAAGTATGTGCTTCCCACCATCAAGATTAGCCAGCACCAGAATTTGGCTTTGTTGTCAAGCTCAGGGATTGTAGGTAGCTTTTTCTGCTAACTTTTAAAACTGTATTTTGTTACAAAAGAAAGGGGGGAGGGAGAATTAGATTATTTTTTTCCCCTGGGTTCAGTGTTTATTTTGGCTGCTAGCAACACTGGCAAAAAGTTAGGGAAAAAACATATATACTCTGCCATTAACAAAAACATTTCCTGTGCTAGGTTACAAACAAAATTGTAGTTTTGTGAAAAGCAAAGCACAAAAGTCCCAAAGTCTTCATTTCAGGAGTGCTTAGCACAGCACTGAATGAGCTTTAGCTTCAGCAAAGCCCTTTGCTTCAGGGGATTCCTCAACCCTGGTGGTTGCTCCAGGGCTGGGATCAGGCTGGGACTGTGTTTGGGTAGTGGGGTGAGCTCCACCTGTGCTTCTATTTTAAAAAGCTGTTGGTGCATTTGCTGAGAGCTGCATCCTCAGTTTACACGTGGTCTGAGCACTTTGCCATCAATGGTTTTCCTGAGTTCCAGTTCCTATGAAGGCTCTGAGGTACAAAGAGCTGGAGACAATTGTGCGGGCAGCCTGCGTGTGCATGTGCTCTCTGACTGCCTGCTGATTTCTTTAAAATGATTAAAGGGACAAGACACTTGATTATAGGGATTTCTGTTTAATCTGCTTGTTAATGTCATGTGTGATATTAAGCTTGCAGCAGACTGGAGTTCTGTATTTTCTGGGAGTGAGAAGAGACATGCTGGGTACGTGCAGAAGCACACTGTTGGAAAGTGAGCACTGAGGAAAACACAAATTACCTTTTTTTTTTTTGTCAGTCCATTTTGTTTGCAAACAGCCCAACAGCAGGGAAATTACATGGTGCAGTTCACCAGTGACTTGCAGGATGAGCTTTCTGTGGGATAAGTGGTTTCTCTTTGCTGTGAGGCAGTCAGGAATCACAGCTAACTTAGGTGGCTGTGCAAATCTTTGGGAAAGGAGGTTTGGATGTCCTTCTTGAGGCATTGCCTATCAAATTACAATATTTGGAAACAAATAGGTGAAACTGCCCTGTAAGTTCTTGCACTGTGTTGGTACACTTCTGAATCTGAGTTTGCATCACAGGGTAAGAGACACATGCCATCTTCTAAAACCTTAAACTCTAAGTTTTTCACCACATGATATTGCACACTTCCAGTCAAACTACACACCCATAATCCCAGTTCTATCATTTGAATTTGGAGGCCTTCTCCACAGCCTCAGGTCAAATACAGTGATCTCCTGGGGGTCAGAGTCTGTCAGCACAGTAAGTCTAAAATTCTCAGCGTCCAGAGTTCTGACAGTGGGCTTGTGCTTTCATAAAGTCTTTCCACAGGCGAAGGGAGGCAGAGGGAAGGAGGCTGTTGGTAAAGGATGTGGTCATGGACCTAGAAGGGATGTCCCCCATTCCTCAAAAGAGAGGCTCCCTTTTGATGGCTGGTGTTCAGGACATGTCTTCATAGGCCATCCAGGAGCTTTCAGGAGGAAGTTTTGGTGCTGGCTGTGCTCAGTTCAAGTGTTTGGCCTCCAAAACAGGCCTGTTGCATAGGAGGAGGATTGTGGTGCTTCTCAGGCAATACAAGCACATGCTTGGTAGTCAGGAGCTGTGCAAGCCATTCATCACACAGCAAGTCTTATGTGGTACTGCAGTTGTCTGCTGCTCCCCACACATGATGAACAGACCTGATGAAGTCTTTAGCTAGTGTTTCTTTACCAACTAATGGTTTATATTTCATTTTGGAGCTCTTGGTTTTATTCCCAGTGTAGCAGCTGCACTGCAAACTCATGAACTTAATGCACACGCGGTGTTTATGGCTCCAGACTGAGAGCGTGTCTGGAAAATGTTTCCTTTGAAGACTGTTTGATGCTTATTCATGTGGCAGTGTAGTTGTCTCAGTTTATCAAACAAATATTGAGGTTGTTCTCCAAGCATGTTATTTCCCAGTAGGCTCCTCCAGAGCCTTTGCAGTCTGTCCTGGAAATGCACAGCTCAGGGCACGCTGTGAAATCCTCCTCAAAAGCAGCTACTGTGTGTAATCAAATCCCTTACAATGTTTACTATTCTGAGCCACTTTGGGGTTTAAAAATCAAGGTGACTCAGTAGCAGCCTATCAACGTGCAGAGCATGGTTGTTTTCTGAATTAAGTTCCTGGTATTCATCAATTGAACAAACGCTGAGCTGTGGAGTGAATTAGCAGCATATTGAGCTTTACAGCCTAGTGCACTTTGGAGATGGAGGAGCTAACAAAAGGCATCACAACAGCAAATATCAGTTTCTCACAGATGCAGACACATATGGTTGTAATGCCTTAAATGGTGCACAGTGGGAGAGCACCACACTCCAAGGTGTGCTCACAGTTTTGTTAGTCTCATATGCAGTCCATGTGGAGTCTGACCCTGGTATATTTTCATGTTATTTTAGGCTGAAACTATATTCTGGGCTACATAAGGATCAATCACAGAATCATCATGGAATCTCATCTGGTTTTCTGCAGGGGAGAAAGCAGCAGAGATGAATACAACACCTATTACCTGTCTTTCTTGGTTCTGAGCATTCCTGGGCTTCATCCCAGACTCTGTCCCAGCCAGCATTTTGGCAACAGGAGATATATGTTCTACTTTGTATGGCAGGGCTTCTCCTGTTTACACTTGGTGTTCTTCCTCAGACAGAAAAGAAATTGTAACCCTGAAAATTATGCTCTAGATCTCCTCTTGGGCCATGGTTCAATTTTATTTACTGTTGTCGGGGTAGCCAGTTTTGGGATGCATAATGTGTAGGATGTTGGAATATTAAGACATAATTTAATCTTCTATTTTTAAAGCTTTGGAGTATCCAAACCTTGATGTCTCGGAATCAACTAGAGACTACTGGGTGATAACAGGTACTTTTTAATGTCCTTCCCTCCTCCAGGCACTCCAGGTAATAATTTTTAGTGCTCATTTATATCAACACAGCAGTGCAGTAATTTTACACAGAATAAGTGGCTGCCCACTGAACCTGCCTTCAGCTGGGCAGATGCACTTACAGTCACTCTGTGGCATAAGTGATAGATCATCTTGAGCCGTGGCATCTCCAGCAAGCAACACCCAGCTCAGAATTTATAGCACTTTGGTTGAAACAATTCTGAGAGCAGCATTATTTTCCAAGAGTTTTGAGACACAAACAGACCATTTATTTATTTATTTATTTATTTATTTATTTATTTATTTATCTAATATCCTGGGACATGGATTTAAATCTGAAATCAAAAAGGACACATAGACATAACCCAGCAGTAGAGGTGAGGCTGTTACACGAAGTAATTTGTTATGATTTGCTGACCATCTGGGTGTAAAGATTTTTTGCATCTTTCACTTGAAGCTCTTAGGCTTCAAACCACTTCTTTTATCAAGTTATTTCACAGGTGCCACCTTCTCATGCACAATCACTTTGACTTCAGAAATGATAACTGGGCAAGAAAGAGACCCTTTCCCTCAGACATCTTTGAGTGATACCAAAGCCTTTCTAGCTGGTGTGTCTGTACCTGCAATTGTTTAATGCTCAGGAGAGCAGAGCAAAGGGCTCTGACATGAAATAAGCTTGGTACCAGTTCCATCTTTTCATAAATTTAAAATAAAACATAAGTTTATGCAGAGATGATGATCTTCTGAAGGGAGTGGTGCAGCTCTTCCCAGTATGGACCCTGTGAACCTGATACTCCATTTCTTGGCTCTGTGCACTTGCTGTGATGGATTATTATTGATATTACAATAGAAACTCTGTTTTCAAAAAGATCCTGTTGGTCCCAGGAGCATTTTGAAATAATGCTAAAAAAACCATACATATGTATGAATTGAATCTGCATGTCATATGACTTTTTGAACTTTAGAATCCAGTGTCTTTTAAATCTTGCATTGATTTATACTTCAGATGTCTTCATTTATACTTCAGAAATGTTTATTGAGGTTTCAGTGCTTTTAGACAGGATATCTTGTTTGAGACTGTACAAAATTGAAACTTCAGAGCTCAAATCCTCAGGATAGAAACTAGTTAACAGGAGCATCTGACAGTAAGCATAAATCTAGCAGCTCTCAAATAGGCTTGAACCTAATTTTTACATTGAAGATCACAGAGTAGTAAACTGAAGGCCTAGAAATGGTATTTTGATATTATCTGAGATGAGCTGTGCAGGGGCTGAAACAGAAGTGTGTTAGATCCTCACAGGGAATAACTGAGAGGGGATAACAGTGTCCAGGTGTTTAATTTCCGAGTTAGTCTGCACCTCCCTGTCCCAAACTGTCCCACAGCCCACGTGTTACTTCACCTGTGGGTGCATGAAGTGCTGATCTGTGTTTTTTCTGTGTTCCCACAGTGATCCAAGGCGTGGATATTGCTTTGCTGGGGCTCAACAACCAGAGCTTTGCCAGGCTGATGGAGCAGCGCTTGGCCCCGCTGTTCATGATGTCCCACCAGCAGGGAAGGCGCTTCAGACGTGCCACCACCGTGGGCAGCTACACTGTGCAGGTGCTCAGTGTGGGGAAAAAAATGCTTGGCTTGCATCTGTCCTGCTTCAGTTCCTGTAAAAGACATGCCTAGCTGAATTTCTAGGCTGACATTTCCTGTATTTCTCATGGGTATCAATGCAGAATGCCTGGCACTGCTGATGGTGCCTTTTTTTGCAGCCAGCCATGTTGGCATGCCTGTCATCCTCCAGAAATCATCATTAGTTAATCAGTGTTCATAAATATTTTCTCTCTGGTTGCTATGAGGATTGGTACAAAGTACATATTTTAGCGTATTCAGCATAATGAAGAGTTCCAAGTTTTTTCTTCTGGATAAAAGTTTCCTAGGTAACTCAAAGCTAGAATTTCTTTTTTTTTCCTCTTTTTGTTGGAAAAAAAAATGTAAGAGGCAGCCTTTATTTATACAGGGTTAGTCATCAAATCATGTGGCCCCAGATCATGCTATGAAGTAGAGACTTGAGACCTGAGTAATTTATTAATCATCTTTCTCTTATTTACAGCATTTTTCATTCAGTATTTTGAACTGATCATGTTTTGTTTTCTCACCATTAAGCCAAATGATGCTGTGGGCAATTAAAAGATTTCTTCTTCAATCTTCAAAAATTAGTTATTTAAAAAAAAATTAAATTGTTTTCCAATAATTGTTTATTGTAAGGTATAAACCCAAGTAATTGCATTTCCCATTTGCCCACACAATTCTTTGTGTTGTTCCACTGAAATAATTTAAAAGAAGGAACACATTTTACTTGCCAGAAGTGTGAACCTTTGTAAAATTTTTGTCCATAGCATAATGGAGAAGAATCATAAAACTCCTTTTTCTTCTCATCATTAGAAATATCTGACATTTTCTCCACTCTCAGAAAAGGTAGATGTACAATGGAAAAATTCTGCCAGTGTTCTGCAGAATAAAATGGGAAAAGCATGATTCCTTTGTTATCAACCTGGGACAAAAAAAATAATAAGTATAGAAGGAAAATGGGAGGCTGTTTTTCAACTGCAATATGCCAATAAAGTAGAGTTTTCAGTATTAGAACAGATGATAAGAATTCCCCCTTTACAGAGGGCTGTAATGGCTAAAAATTTGATCATTTCCTCTTTGCTGCATGCTTTTCTTAGTGTAGGGTTTTACCTTAGGATTATGTTTAATTTTTTTTCAAGAAGAATTTTAGTTGTTTTTCTGACTGGCTGATTTAATAGCCTGGGCTCTTAAGGGGAGAAACTCTGATCCTATGAGGATATTTGCATGAAGCTTATGCTTGTGGGCAGTCTTGAAGGAGCTCCCTGTGGACACTGCCCCCAAATAGCTCCTGGCAAGTTTTGCAGTGGTGTAACACAAACACAGTTTATTTCTCTTTCTCTCCTCATTTTATTTATTTTATTTCCCTTAAAGATGGTCAAAATTCAGCGTATTCCAGGACCCAAGGAGCCAGCTGAACTGACGTATTACACTTTATACAATGGGAAGCCTTTGCTGGGCACTGCAGCTGCCAAAATTCTGAGTACAGTTGACTCGCAGAGGATGGCCTTGACCCTGGGCTATGTCATCCAAGTTCAAGCTGATCGTAAGAGTCCTTTCAAAAATTCCATACTTAACCATTGCTTTATTCCATGAACTGAGCACTGTGGAAAGCCACAATTAATTCTGATGCTGACAAAACCATGACAGCAGACACTAATGATGACTGGGGCAAAGTTGCTATTCATGTAACTTGGCCAAAAAATGTAAAATGTGGTGGCTGTTAAGATGTCCCTTATTTTTGACTTCATCAAAATAGTATAGATTCTTTCTATCTCAAAGGGATTATTATTTCCTTGAGTAACAATTTTCACCAAGAAAACTACATGGTTGTTAAAAATATTTAGATACAAATCAGAAAAGTGAAGTAGAAAAGAGCTACATGTGCATACGGACAGTTTTCAGATTCAAGATAGGATAGTATCATTCAGAAAAATGTGGTCAAAAATACTCCATTCTTGAAAAGTACAGTGTTTTCAATTTTCTCTTTCAAAACCTTAATCAGTTACTGAGTGATTGTGGACACAGGTTTCTTTAAATGATTTTTTAGATATTCCTATATACTTGTCATAGTCATAAAACTGTGGTGAAGCTTGGAGTGTTTTTTCATGCAGTTAACATAATGTATAATTATGCTTCATGCAATGTATAAACCCATGCCTTTTGCTAACTGGATTTCTCCACCTTACCAAAGTATTTCTAAGAAGGAATCAATATTATGTGGTAGACTTCTGCACTGGATCTCCTTACTGGTGAAACAGCACATAAAATTGTCCCTGGTGCAATTATATCTGCCTGAAGGAGTGGTGGTACTGAAATAATTACGTAAAATTGTGACAGGAAAAGAAGAGACCACTATAATAAGTAATTTGTATTATGTATCATCATCCTTATGTATCATCCATAAACATAGGATTGAGTAAGAAGACTGAAATTTGATACAATTTCCACAGAATGCACCATGTACTGTATCTGATACTTGATCTGATCATGGTCTGCTTCTGACTTGAATTCAGTTGCACCCAAGGATCTCTATTCCATAAATTCCAGCATTTACATTCCAAGTAATTTTATTTTCCATGAGGATATTTCTTTAATGTATTTTTTACTACAGAAGAGATGGATAGGGCAGTTTCCTAGCTCTTTGTGCAATGATGTGATTTATATTTACGTGGGGATTTAGGCAATTATGGAAGCTACTGCTCATCATCTAACTTTGTATTTCCATGGTCTGATAAGGCAGCCTCATTCATCTGTAGATTTTCATACCAGCCACATATGCATAGAACACTGTAAAAATAGAATAGACAGGAACTGAAATTGTGACCTGAGGTACGTGAGATTCTGAAGGCAGAGTATTTGAAATTCAGGAAGTAATTCCATCTTTATATCTTATTATGGAAAATAACACAATTTCTTTCCTTTTGGACATGGTTATTTGTAGTCTGCATTGCCGCATAAAGTACTTTGTGTGGATTTCATTTTTGCTCATTATAATTTCTGTTCTAGCAGAATGAAAAGTTCTGTCCCAAAATACTGTGAGAAAAGACACGTACCCTCGGGAGCTCATAGCTGGGTTAGATGAGACAGACGAATAATAACACAAAAAATGGATGTTCCTGTGTTATGAGCCAGAGACTGAGTTACAACAGAATGAAAGGCTTGTTTCAAATTCCACTGAAGTCTTACTGAGTTCAATGAACCATGGGTTGACTTTAGGTCACATTGGGGTCTGGTAACTGAATTAAAGATGTAAATTAGGACTCCTAAATGACTATCCTATTAGCCATAAGGTCATAATTTCCTCTGCATCCCTTAGAAGGCAGAAGTATAATTTTTCAACCATTGTTTGCTGCTTCCACAGCAGCAGACTATAATTAAAGTTTCTGTTATTTGTTAAAATTCAGATTCCGTTTCCTTCCCCACAGCCCTCTCATCCCCAAACTAAATGTCAAAGTCAATAATTAAGAATTCTGCAAGTCTGTTGAAAAGTGAACCTTGTAAGTTTCCAACCTGGCCTTTTTGCAGTCTTGTGCTCAAGCTCTGAGCCTAATGGTGCTGTTCCTACATCCCCCAAAAAACTTCACTGGCTTTGCAAAACACTGCAAATCTACAAAGAGAACAGGCTCAGGCTCCAGCCAGGCTTTCAGCTGGAGAACTGTAAAGTTCCCAGTGCCTGCTGCAGAAGAAGCTGGTTTGTATTTGAAGTCTGGTCCTGAGAGATGCTGAGTCCCTCCGACAGCTCATAAGCTCAATGACATTTGAAAGTGCCGGTCCCCCAGGAAATGGGAACGGCTGCTTTGTGCTGGTGTTCTCACAATTGCCTGCCCACACCAGCAACCAGTGCCACAGCAAAATAAACAGGGATAGCATGGGGAAGTCCACTAAATATTCCACTACAGCAAAGTTCAGCACCATAAAGAGGTTGTCTGATTGTTTTTCCAGAACGAAATGAAATGAGAGAACCGGGAATGTGTCACAGGAGGATGTGTGAACAAGTTGAAGGTTCATAACTAAGAGAGATTATTCTGATGAAATGGAGTCTAAAATGTTTTTGCCTTGCTGCATTTCAGAAATGTACCCTTTTCCTGATGCCATCATTAATATGTCTGCAAGTAGCTCTTTTCAGCCTCATTATTTCTACTCCTTCAGAAATAATGAATTCTTCTTGACCTTAACTATGATAAATTATTTCTAGAGCACAAGAGAAGCATCTTCTTATTGCCTTATTGATATTGATAGTAACTATTCCAGCTACTTTCATTGTTTTTTAAAAAGCTCTGCCAGTTTGCTCCTGCTGAGCCAGTCAATGTTTGACACCATAGATGGACTCCATGTGTGTTCTTTTAACACACATGCTATGCTACTTTGCTCTAGGCTGGCCTTGTGTTTGAAAAATAGTTAAGGATGCATTATTTGCACCTTTTATTTATTGTGTGAGTGAATCATTGGAGTGATATCTCAGATGGTATCTATCTTGACTTTGGAGTGAATGTCTGCTTTTATAACCAGGTAACATAAAATTAAGAAAAGAGAGCCTAGGGATTTGTGAATTCAACAAATCAAATCAAATTCAACAAAAACTGTTGCTGATTTTCCCCTTCTTATTCTTATTAAAGTAATAAAAGAGGTATTCCCTTGTACAGAAAGCTAGATTACTTAGCAGTACTTTTTATACTAATTTCTATATGGAGGCAATTGAAGGCTGGAAGCAGCAGGAGCCTTTCCCAGTCAAGTCACCACTGGTGGTTTGCCTTTTTCTGCAGCTGTGGTGAAGAACCCCCCAAACAACCTGTGGATCATTGCAGCCGTGCTGGCTCCCATCGCGGTGGTCACCGTCATCATCATCATCATCACCGCGGTGCTCTGCAGGAAGAACAAGAACGACTTCAAACCAGACACCATGATGAACCTGCCTCAGAGAGCCAAGGTCAGTGACCCAGCCCCACATCCAAAGGTCCATTTGCCTGCTGAGACTGTGGCTCTTGGATAGATGCAGTTGAAGGATGTTTGGAACTGAAAGGATTGGTACTCACAGCCTGGATCGGCACATCTCCTGTAGGATCTGTAGCCTGAGCTGTTCCTGCCTGCTGAAGATGGGAATGTCTGAAGTTTGGTAGCAATTAAGATCTGGCCCTAACCAAAGTTCTCCTCCCAAATTGCTGGAAGGTCCCCTTCCAGAACATTTCCCCTTTCTGATTCCCCCATAAAATCCAGAATAGGCATTCTTTGATTTTTTTTTTCTCCTACTGCTATTTTTCTTTTAGGTGCTTTGGACTTTCTAATTTTTATGTATATTGCTGGTCAGGTTCAAGGAATTATGGTTTTCTTAAAGTTACTAATCCATATCAATTACAATATTTTCTTTTCCCAAATCAAATGCACTTCCAGTTTGATCCTCTGATAGAAAAAAAAGTCACACAATACTCTTTTATCTCCATAGTGAAAAAGTCTGCCCTCTCAATGTTGGTATTAAATGGCTCTTGATCAGGTCCAACCAAAGATAGGAGTTTTTAGCCTATGAGGCTGTGTGTAAGTCAGACTGTTCCTTTGCCCTTTTAGCTGGCTTTGCTCTTCTCTGCTTGGCATGGGATTGAGATGATGAATTCTTTATTTGGTTTCTTAATGCTACAGACAGCAGGATTATTGAGATTTCAGCTCTGTTGCTTCTGCTGAAAAATGTAGATTGGAAGGAGAGTTGAAGGAAGGCATGAGGCATTTGACAGCTCTTTTCTCCTTATCTTAGGTTCGTTGCAGATGGGTGCAGCTGGTGCCAGTTGGAAACCAGACATTTGTATCAAAAATGATTCAGAAAAGACATTTCCATTTTGGTTCCAGTGTGCTCATCTGTTTATCCACTATTATCCATCCAGTTTTAAGACTAGATCTGCAGAAGTGTAACACACAATATCACAAACACAGACAGGAATTAATATCACTGCAGTGCTATTAGATGCCCCATTGAAGCCCCTAAAAATGCAAATTATGCTTTATTAGGGGTTGTTGCCAATGCTATGCACCATTTGATTGGTTTTATATGTAATCTTGGTCCCAGCTAAAAGAAAAAAAAATGAGGTAAACCTTGTACATTGTTTTGAACTGCCCATCAATATGGGATGCTTACCAGCTGAAGAAAGTTGCTATGTAAAATATGTAAAAAAAAAAAAAACACCAAACAACCTACTGCTGGTTGAAATTATAGCACAGGAAAAACTTGAAAGTATTTTCATATTTTAATCCATTGTTTTCATTCCAAAAAGAAATACAAAATTGGATTTTTACTGTTCCTCAGATTTAATCAGGCTGTAAGATACACACTCAGGTTGAAGCTTGTTCAGCCTGGTTACATTTGCATCAGCCTTCAAAGCATCAGATGGGAGCTGGATCTGCAGTTGCTGGAATGAAACAATTGGTGCTGAGCTCCCAGCACCCACACCACAGTCCTTTTCCTGCAGGTTTGTTTTCCAGCTTTTCCTGCAGGTTTGTTCTTGTTGCAGCTGGAGTGCAGAAGGTTCCCTTCCACAGAGCATTTCCCCTTTCCGGTTTATTTTGACACTCCATAAAATTTAATTTAATTCATTATCTGAAAAGTGGTGCATTTCTAAATGAAAACTAAATTGCTTTCCATTTAGTTTCGCAATGATGGCTCCATCAGAAAGGTTCTGCCAGGTCTAGTTTAGAGTTTATGCTGGTATATGGACTATGGAAGATGAATCCTGCAGTGGGACTGGGAATGGACTGGTTTGGTCATTCCTAATTTCAGCATCTTTAATTAAAATAAGGCTAAGAAATATATTTTGAGAAGATAAGGAAAGAAGGTAATTTTGAAAAGAAGATTTTTAGTTTTATTTTTAATTCCGGTGTTAGGGCTAGTGGTAATTGCTTGAACTGTAATTGCCGTATTTCATGCAGTTTGGGATTACAAATGAACACATATCCATGTCACATTTAAAACGAGTCTGTTGTATTTCATGGCTGAGCAAAGTGCCCGAGACTGCTGATTAATGCTGACTCTGCTCGAAGTGGAGTCACAGTGGAGTGATTTGTAGTTTAAGAGCCGCTTTGGTATTTTGCCTCCGCGCATCCGAGATGGGCTGTAGAATGCCCGGAGCACTTTCGGGACCCCTTTTGAGCAGCCAGCAAGGATCCCATGTGCCGCCTGCCTGCTGGGATGCCGGGTGCGTGTGCTGGCTCCAGCAGCCCTGCTCCAAGGGGACGGGCAGGGCAGAGCTGCTCGGTGCTGCAGTCCTGCGGGAGGGAGGGAGGGAGGGAGGGATGGGGGCTGCGGGTCCTGCCGGAGCGCAGCTGCCACATCCCCGCATCCTGCGGCGGGACAGCGCCCAGGGGAACCACACATCCACCATCAAACACCGTGCGCGGCAGCGGGAGGGCACCGGGGCACGGAGCAGAGCGGCGGGGCTGCTGCCGGAGCCTGGCGATGAAGGCGTGACTTCTGTGTCGTGGCACACTGAAGGGTAAAGAAATGAAGTGTGCAGAATGAGCTCTCGTACGCAGCGTAGTTTGTAGGAGCTCTCCTGGGAATTGTGGTGCTGTTGTGAATTGCCTCAGCAGTTAGGGACATCTGGATGCAGCTGCAGGGAAAAGGAAGATTGGAAAATACCATTTTTTCCAATTTTCTCGCTAGCTGTAAGGTGAAAGAAGTATAAATTCAAATTGGTGAAGTTCTGATGGGATTTTATTTTAATGCTGTTTTTATCTTAAGCAACTGTTTTTCCTTTGAGGTTTTGGATGAATGTTAACTTTTGCCTTCCTTACTTTCTAATTCACAGCATGCTTTTTTAAAGTCTAGAATCTCATTTGTCCCCTCAACTATTTTTTATTTTTAGACCATGAAAGAATAAGTTTGCAGGTAAGAGGAGATAAGATCTGTAGTCTAAGACCCACAAGCAAAAGCAAGTGCTGCATGCCGTGGGAAAACAAGCCTTATCAGTTTGATAAAGGGCACAGAAAAAAACGTCAGACTGTACCTGAGTAAACCGATAGAGGGGAGGGGCTGATTTTTTTTTTTCTTTTCCTTTTCCTTTCCCTTTTCCTTTCCCTTTTTCTTTCCCTTTTCCTTTCCCTTCTTTCTCCTTTCTCCTTTCTCCTTTCTCCTTTCTCCTTTCTCCTTTCTCCTTTCTCCTTTCTCCTTTCTCCTTTCTCCTTTCTCCTTTCTCCTTTCTCCTTTCTCCTTTCTCCTTTCTCCTTTCTCCTTTCCTTTCCTTTCCTTTCCTTTCCTTTCCTTTCCTTTCCTTTCCTTTCCTTTCCTTTCCTTCCCTCTTCCCTCTTCCCTTTTCCCTCTCTTTTTCCCTCTTCCCTCTCTTTTTCCCTCTCTTTTTCCCTCTTCCCTCTCTTTCCCTTCTCTCTCTTTCTTTCCTTTATTTCTTTTCTTTCTCTCTTCCTTGTTTCTCTTCCTTCTTCCCTCCCTCCCTCTCTTTTTCTCTCTCTCTTTCTCTCCCTCCCTCACTTCCTTCCTTCCTCCTTTCCTTCCTTTTTTGACATATTTTTTAGCATCTTTAGAGTCTTTTTCACAATCATTACAAGGAAAAAGAGTCCCAGAAACAACTGTACTCAGTCTGCCCTTTGCCAGGCAATGTAATCTAGTGCTCTCTCTCTCTCCATTTATTATTTCAAAAGCAATATTAGAATCTCAGTCCTTCAGTCTTTGTCAGTATTTTGGATGTATTGGACATCTACATTTGCAGTGCTTCAGCTGTGCCTGGTCGTGATTTTAGCCTTGCCAGTTCCCTCCAGGGGTGGCAGAACCATCTGCTCCTGTGGGCTTTTACAGAGCAGGGATCCAAGAACAAATTTTATTTAATGCAATATGTCTGCTGATGAGGATGACTTTCTCAGCTCTCCTTTTATTGCAGTTTGTTACTGGACATGGTGGTAAGTAGAACTCTGATGATTAAAATAATCCTTCATTTTCTTCCTGTGGCAGATCTGAGCTGGGACATTGCAGAATTCTTTAGTAATTCTCATGTCCTGCAGATTCTGGTTTGGTTTGTTTCTTTGTTTGGAGAGGTGATTTTTTTTTGTTTGCTTTTGGTTTTTTGGTTTTTTTTTGGTTTTTTTTAAGTAAGAGATGAAGTTGAAATTATTTGACTCTTTCAAAGGCATGGAGGGAGAAATAACTGATTTAATCACCTCTTCTCTCTTGTTACCTTTTTTCAGAATATCTAGAGGTGTCTTAGCTGACACTTAATATTTATGAGGTTGAAAAGCAACATTTTAATTAACAATATTATTATGTAGGATGTTGTGCAGAATTTCTTCCTAACTGTCCTTCACACAGCTGCTGCTTCCCTTCCTTCATTTGCTGGTGGCTGTTTTGTGATACCCTGCTTGCCATGGAGGGGTGATGGTGAATTAGCATTTCTCTGATATATTGCAAGTTCCATGGGGGTGATTTGTGGAGTTGTCTGCTCTCCCTTATCAGCATTAGCCTGCTCCTTAATGCACTGAAGCTTCTTATCAGAGGAATGCTGAAGGATGGAAACACATTAGGAACCATTAGCCTCAGTCTGAGCAGGAGCTTGGGAATGCCATGCAGGTCCACACAAAGAAAAAGCATTTCTTAGGTTTCAAAAAGTGAAAAACAGCACCATTATTTTCAGAATGAGATCACCTGTGAAATGTATCAGAATTTAGAGCTGCAGCCCAGCTTTAGTAAGGGACACAACAAGAGAAAATGCTTTTCAGAGCTTGTCCTTCTTCTGTGCCAACAGCAATTTTTTTTCTCATGCTGATTTTCTTTTGCAACTAAAATATTCAATGATGACATGACAGGAACCTGGAGTAATCAGTCGTGAACTAATTCCAAAGTATGTGTGAGGTTTAAAACTTGCACTTTCTCAGCTTTGAAGTGTTTTGTGGTCCTTTCTTAGCATTTTGTCAATTGTCTTTTTACTTCAGGAAGAGCAACGTTCCCATTTTTGGTAAGTTAGTTTTATTTAGTGCAACAAGAACACGTTTTCTGGAGGTGGTTATGAATTTCTTTCAGTGATTTACTTTTCATATTTTCTTCCCCAACAGATAATGCAGGTTGGTTTTGTTGTTGTTGGGGTTTTTTTCTTTTTTCTTTTTTGTTTTTTCCCCATTCTCTTTTCCTTCCAGCTGAAAATGCAGTTTGGAAAGTCATGTTTTGTCTAAATGTTTAATTTTTCCATTGAGAGAATACACCTTTCCTTGGCTGCTTTGCCCAGAAGGCATGTGTTAGTTCTGCTGGGCAGAAACTGCCCTGCTGCAAGGCTCTGGTGAAATGCCACTTCCCAAGAGAAACAAGTGAAGTCAGTAATATCCTTCCCAGTAGGCAACTGGCAAGCCAGGGGAAATCTAATTTCACTGACCTGAAAAAGATTACTTTCTGGAAAATGTTGCCCATGAAACTTTCTGATGTGTGCCTTTTTTACTTTGGCTTGACTGGGAATAAATTACTCCCACCCTCTTTGGAAGCACAAGGGTTTTGTCAAAGAAAGTTTTCTGTAGGGTTTTATTTTTTTTTACACCTAATTTTTAATTCCACATCCCTGTTCTCCCACTGTCTGTCAAAGTAATTTCTGGGGGTGTTACAGCAGGGTAAGAAAGGTTAGCCAAGGTCAATTTTATACGAACTAATCATGTTTAAAATGTGTGGAATGGAGATCTCATGAGAAAATTGGTTTCCTGTTGGGCATTCACATTGTTTCTATGTATTTTTACCTGTCACTTATGTAATTTAATAAGTTAAGGAGTAGTGAAAAATTTTACATTGAATTTGAAAATTTCTATTAAATCTAATACACGCTGGAAATTTCTGTTATTTCCCCTGTTTTTTGCAGCCAGTCCAAGGCTTTGACTATGCCAAGCAACACTTGGGCCAGCAGGGAGCAGAGGATGAGGTTTTACCTGTGACTCAGGAGACTGTCATCCTTCCACTTCCAGTCAGAGACGCTCCTGCCTCCCAGGAGAGGGAAACAACCCAGGATGGGAGCACCATCAAAACTGCCAAATCCAACGAAACAAGGAAAAGGTATGGGCTGGCAGCTGCTGCCTTTCCACACAGGGGTTAACGAGGATATGTGCTGCTGGTTGCTGAAAGGTTTGGCACTCAGTGTAATCCAGTTCCCCTCCATGATGTATCCTTGGCATGACGCTGGTCTGTGCTGGGTAATGTTGCTGCAAAATTTGAGATAAAACCAAGTGAAGTCTTACTGAGGAGGTGAAGTGGCTTTTGTGTGCATGTTGGTGCTCTATAAAGATGAGCCCAAATGCCACATGTAACATGAGCACTGGAAATTTCTTAAGGAATAAAAAGACAGGTCCTCAGCCACTGTAAATTGCTGTCACTCCACTGGCAGGCTCTGCCACTTTAGAATTGAACCCAATGCCTTCACCAGCAGAGGGGGAAACCCCAAATATCCACTAAATGTGGAAGACTTCTAGATCCAAAGCATCTACAGCAGGACCAAACTTCAGAAGTGTAAGAATAGACTAGATGATGTCAGTGTCTAGGGTGAAGTGTCCCAGGTTTGCACTCTCTTCATATGAAGTCTCTAGGCTTGCAGGATCATGGATTCAAGATCCCCAGGGAGCTATATGGCTCCTCTTCTCTGCTGCAGGGTCCAACAGTCCCCCTAACTCAACTTTATCTACCTTATTTTAAAATCTTCCACTGGTGGGATGATCACAACCTCCTCCAGCAATCTGTTCTCTCCTGCCTTTCCTGTTAGGAAGTTTTACCTCATGTCTGCCCTCACCCATCAACAGAATAGCTGAATATTCCTTGTCTTGGTCCTTGCAGGCGAGGAAAACAGATTATCCCTTTATCCCAGCTGTTTTGCATGCTTTGAAGCCAGTTTTTCCTTGGTCCACTCTCCTTGGCATTAAATGAGAGTGGAGCTGAGGATGGATACTGAAGGGAAGAGAGGAAAACAAACCTGTTAGGCAAACAGCCTGAATAGAGGTAACTGTTGTTGTGTGGCTCACAGGCATTCCACGGGCCTGGCCTCTTGAAGGGATTTGGTAACATACAAGAAAAGCAGCTGACTAATGCAGAGAAATTCTAGAGAAAACCAAGCCTTCCTAGCTGAGTCACCTCATCTTGTCCAATATTTCCCCCTCTGGAATAATGGGAAAGCTTGGAATACTCAGCACAGTGTTGCTGCACACTGTGTCAGGGACATGCTGGAAGGGGAAGGTGTCAGCCAGCATGGTGTGGGGCTGGAGGACAGCAGGGGTGGGTAGATAATCCCCAGTGGTCATCAGCTGAGGTTTTCCTTGCAGTAAAACAGACAGAAGGATCGTGGTTTATCGTATTCCATTGGCTGGGCAGTAAATCACCTGGAATGTGGGAAGGGCTGTCTGCAGGGTGTACCAGCAGAGAGGAGTAAACTGTTCTTCTGTCATTTAATGCCAGTGAGGTGCTGTTCAGGCTCCAAGTCACTGCAATATGAGGGTTAGGTCTCTGTGAACCAAACAGCACCTGTCCTTTCCAAAGCCTTCCATCCTCTGAAGAAATGACAACTGGAAGAGGACCGTGACACCCACAGCGGTTGCTGGTGCTGGGCAGGTCAAGTCTTTGCAGGAATTGTACTTTAAAATGTTTTGAAACCTCTCCAAAGCCATGTGTAAATATACACACACAAAAAAGTAAATCAGCCCTGTTAATTAATCCTCTACCCAAAGTGATTAAACACTTCACTCAGTCCTTTGAGTGAGTGCAGAAATCCCCCACTTAATCTGCACCATTTTAAACAAATGCTGATAAGCAAACTCGATCCAAGAAAGTTATTCTCACAACAAAATGTGCTGAACCTTGGTGCCCTTCTAAGCAAATAACTAAGAGTTAGTTTTCCCTCCTTCAGGGTGATTACTGGAGTAAGTAAGAACATGTAGAATTTCAGTTTTTTTGATTCCCAGGAGCTGTGTCTGGAAATGGAATTTAATGGTTGCTGAAGATGAAGAAATCTTTCTTGCCCTTTATGTATTTGCTCTTTCATTCAGGGTACTTTACAGCCTGGAAATGTCAATTCAAACCAGATAGCCATGAAGTGGCTGGTAACTGATCAAAGTATCTTTGCTATCACCACTGAAAGAAACTTCTCAGTTAATAATATGAGGACAACTTAAAAAGGATGAATATTTGGATTAGTGTCACCACAGAAATCATTGTGCAAGCTATCCATGTTCGCTTCTTTTCTATGTTCCCAAGTTGAGCAGATTTTCTTCAGATGTTGGTCTGTCCCTGGATGGATCTTTTTTATTGGGCTGGGATTATCCATTCAGCAGTGATAGACAGGTTTATAGGGAGGAATCTTGCTTCTCAAGACTACTTATTTTTAATAGAATTTCCAAAGGAAACCCTCAGGCTGGACAGCGTGGTTGCATGCTGAATTCTCCTGGAGTCCTGTAGCTGGAAAGAGCCAGTCTCAAATTATACATATTTCCACTTAGGCTATCTTCAAAAGGGAATCCCCAAGAATTGCTTTTCTCATATTTGTCCCTTGCTCTTCTGACCACAGTGAATGCTTTCTACTTACACTGGGTAGGGTGGCCAGACCTGGAGGTAAATGAATGTTTCAAGCTGATGATACAGTACTGGCAGTGATTTACAGGATGGTTTTGACATTTGTTTTGTTTTAGTACCATTTTCTGGTTATAAAACCATTGTGACAGCAAAAGAATTTGATTTGATTCTTTTCCTCTGTAAATGGAAGCCTCTGTGCCTAGGCCCATTTATTTTCCTCTAGTGTAACCTCTTCACATCACCCTGTCACTGCCCATGACAACTCAGTGGTAGATTGCAGATAGATTTGTGAATAACTACGCAGGTCCTGTGGGGTGTTTTCATTCCCTTTGTGGCAGTTTCACATGTAAAAAAAAAAACGTGACTGTGTCTGGGTGCTGACTATCACCAAATGTGCTATTGTCTACTAGTGGCCTGCTTTTGCCAACTTGTGCATTAGGGTTTGAGTGACTTGTACACCCCAAAAAGCAGAGGAGCTGTGGTGGGAGCTCACTCACTTGCTGCTCATTTCTGTCCCTGCTCCTTGCTGGGACTGGATGCTCAGCGGTTCTGCCCTGCCCTCCCTCCTCAGCCTGGGCAGGGACCAGTTTCAGGACAAGGATGTGCAATGGCTGATTAAAACAAGAATTTTCTTAGGGGTTTCAGCCAATGAGGGGCGCTGGTTAAACCAGGGTATGTGCCAAAAGGAGAAATTTCTTATTGTGTGTGCATACGTGCAAAGTGAGTGAGTGTTCTTTGCATTGTGGCTGACAACAACTGACTGTAAATGCAGGCTGAATAATAAAGGAATCGATTTAGCCATGCATCCTAAAACAAAGGTCTACTTTATTTTGTCTGGGTTAACGACCCTGAATTGACAACGGGACTTTTTGTCCTCGGTGGTGGCATTTTATCGTTGTGGGGCTTATGCATGAGGAGCAGTTGCATTCCAAGGCACCAAGATGCCCATCGGCCCTGAACTAATTGGGAAAGTCGTGCTCCCCTCCCATCACTGTGCTCCTACCTGTACCGTGTTGCCGTGTGCTGTTTCTATTCTGTCTCCTTTCGGTACCAAATCAGAGTTGAAAACTCAGTGATGCAAACCGCGCGAGTGAAATAACCTTGAAACGAGGTTGAGGAGGGAGAACTCACGTCCTGCCTTGTTGCTATGGTTTCTTGCAGCCGCTCCCCGAGCCAGAACGGCTCCATCCTCAGCAATGGGTCGGGAAAGCCCAGCTCCGGCCGGAGCTCCCTGCAGAAAGTGATGGCACCGCAGAAAGCGGCAAAAGACGAGGGCAGGAAAAGGAACGGTGAGAAGGGTTCGTTGTGCTCATCCCCACGTAGGCACCAGCTGGAAACAATTTCTTGTACCCTCAGCAGTCCCTGGGCATTCCGTGTGTGGCTCATTTGTTGGGTTTTCCCCTTCCCATTTACTGCTTTAACTGTTTCTCCACATCCCATGAAACATCGTGGTGCTTGCTCTTTGCAAGTTTTCTTGCTTTTTGTTTATCCCCACTCTTTTTTTTCCCTTGGAATACCAGTAAACTAAGGAAGACATGATGCTTCCTAGTAGGGTTTACAGCTTTTTTTTTTGTTTTGTAGTTCCCTAAGATATTAATTTTCTCTGCTACTCCTGCTAAGCTGGCCCAGATCTGATGAAGATGAATTAATTAGATAGAAATTAATTTGAGAAAGTGTGAAACATCCAGTGCTTTGTCTTTCCTCACATCCATGGCACACCTGTTTGTCATTAACATTTACTGGCAGCTTTTCCTGAATGCACCTGGGATGTCACGCTGGATGTTTCTCACAAGACCTTAGTTGATGGTGGTGACCTTGTGCCTCGAGATGGATCAGTGATGGTCCATGATGGATGAGAGAAGTACCCAATCCTGTTTCTTTCTTGCTTTTTCTTCTCTTTGCTTATTTTTCCTGAGTTATAGCTTTGTTCCCATAGCTATGTTTTCCTAATGAATAGAAAACTGGCTAACAGGTTCTAAGTTTCAAAGGGGTTAATTATTTTGTCACAGTATGAAATGTGGCTCATTTTACAAGACAACAACATTTGTGTTTTCAAAAAATTTAAAAGCTGTAATTTATGATGTCTTTTTTCTTACCCACCCAGGAAAGCCAATATTCAAACCAGTGCTAAGTGCTGTTTGCATGGGTAGACAAAATATTTTAGTGAAAGTATTTTGTGTTTTGTTAGGTTTTACATCTTCAAAGAAAACTGATAAGAACTCAGTTTTGTTTGTTTTTTAGAACTGACTAGCACCTAACATCCTTTCTTCTGATCTGGGCTGTAGTGCATTTCTAGAACATACACATGCTACCTAAATAAACCTCTGAATGTAATGGAAGGAAATAGTGACCCTTCATTTTAAATGTTAACTTCATTAAAATTTAGGAGAAAAAACTTCGGAGAAAAAAATTTAGGAGAAACCTGTGCATGGGACACCTCATCTGCCCTCCTGGTAGAGACTTCAGCTGCTTCTGGTAGAACTCTCTTCACTTGACTGCCATGGCACTAAAAAGGGTCTCCTTGCAGAGATATGAAAGGGAATAAATACCTTGCTTCCTGGTAAAGACAGGAGAACTTTTTAGCTATAGGGATATCTTTTAATTTATATTTAGGAGAGTTTCCTTAAACAACTCTTTCAGAACAGCTGCTGAGAAGGAGGACGTGATCATGGCAGATGAAATGACCTCCCCTTGTCAGAATTAATGGAGTTCAGTTTGGAGCTGTGTGATCCCAAATGCCTATTGAAATTGAAATTAAAATCCAAAGCCTCAAGGCACCCATTAGTTCTCATCACAGAGCCTGCCCTTGGTTCCCCTGTGCTGTGATTATGAACATCATTGTCAGCTTGGACAGTTTGTGCTTTCTGCAGTGTTTTACCTTGACCCAGAGTGTTTAGCATCCACAGAAGGTGGTGTCTGTTCTTCCTTCCAGTTTCAGAAAGAAGCTGCTTTTCTCCCAGTTGTTTGCCTGAGCCTGCTCCAACTCTCCAGCCTGGCTGGTGGCTCTGACACAAATGTTGGCACAAGCAGCAGCAGATTTTCTTCTCTGAGAAGCAGCATCTTCAAACTGGAATGAATCCCTTGATGGTCACATGTTGAATTTGGGGACTCCAAGTCAGAATGGCTCATTAGTTACCATAGTTACAGACCAATTTTAGATTCTATTTCTTGCTGACATTTAGTTGCAGGGAGGAATGACAGCACTGGATGTTACCTCAGTATTTAAATTCTATATGGCTTGTATCAAAATTGACTCCACATGGAGTGTGTCAGGGCTGTGAGTGAACAATGTGAAACCAGCACGGACTGACAGGCTTTGCTTCAGGACTTGATGCTTTGGAGGATCAGGAGAACTCTTCAGCTGAGCATTATTTCTACAGAAAACACAAAATAACTACTTGAATCAAACAGTGATAAGATTTTGTAAGATAATGGGATTTTTTTTTCTTGAATAACATTTATTATTATATTAATAGGAAGTTTTCTTTCTAAAAGTTAATGAGTTCTACATTTATTTACTTTAGGTAATTAAAAAAACCCGAAATACTTTTTAAAAGTGCCTAGTTATGTATGTTAGAGGACTGTAATATGGATGAATCAGCCAACAGAGGTACTGGCAGTTTCTGAGATGGGTTTGTGAGAGAATGTGGAAGAGAAGAACAGGATATTAGCAGTTCTGCCCATCATTTATCAGGCCAAACATCATTCAGGGAGAAGCAAATGGCTGAACCCACTCAGACCTAGAGAGCTAAAACAGCCCACAGTGCAACCTTTCCTTTCAGCAGCTCCTCACTAGATGGAGCCAATGAAATTGATGTAGGTTGTTTTTCAACCTTTAAGTGCTTGATCTTGCAGTCTTCCCATTAACACCTTTGGAAGAGTGTGAGTGTTTGTTTCTTTTTTTAGGGAAAACCAAAAGTTTTGATTTGTTATCAATTCTTAATGAAGCATATGACTCCCCAACTTGTGGGGAACTTGTGAAGTTAAGAACTTGTGTAGTTGAGCTCAGGTTTATACTTAAACCTCATCACCATAGGTGGAGATGTACAAGCAGCATTCCCCAAGAGTCAAACTTCTTTGTGTAAGAAACCTTCCCCGGCTGGACCAGTTTCTCATTTTCCAATCATTTGGACAGTGTCTTTGAAAACAGCACTTTTCAGAAGTCATTCAGTCAAGGGCCTCACTCCTTTTTAAAATACCAGTCTCTAAGACTATAATTTCTTTTGTCAAGGCAAGAGCTGTCTACAGGAGCAAAGTAGCAGGGGAAAAAAATCGTCTGTGTTATTGGTTTAGCTAAAATCAAAGGGATTTTTGGATGTAACTCAGCCTAGCTATGATACATTGCCTCCTTTATTCTACAGAAGCGTGGGCCACTAGTTTTCACTCTGTCTGATGTGGCAGCTCAGCATCAGAGCCTGTTTTTCTGAATTTCTGAGCAGTTGTCTATGGTGATTCAAAATAAAGGGAAATATGGCAACAGCGATGTTGTCTGGTGGCATCTTGGACACAGAGTTAGCTGGGGGAGCTGGTGGATCCCAACAGACACCCAGCACCCTTCTTCTGCCTTTTTTGTGCTGAGTGAAATACAAATCAGAATGGAAAGGACTGCTTCCAGAGGGTCATGGCCAACTGGGATCTCTGGAGGTAAGATCCAGTCAGAAAGGAGCAGCTGTGCAGATTTGGAGTGAGATGATTCCTCTTCATGATGCCTGTGCCTTGGAAAGGCTGAGAAATCAGAGTGCTGGGAAGAATTTGTGGTGTGGAGAAAGGAGCCTACTCTTTTCATCCTCCATTCCCTCATCCTGAATCATTATTTTCATTTGCCCCCAGATGGGTGTTAATTTGGGATTTCATCTGCCTCTTCACCTCCTCACAGCAAACTCCTAGGCTTTTTGGAGTAGCTTACTACATTTAACTAGAGGGGGCAAAAATCCCAAAGAACAAACAAAATCCACCTGTTCAGCTGCAATCCTGTGTGTTGGCACAAATTGCTATTGAACCTCTCAGAAGCTTTACACATTGATTCCCTTTTCTCCCAAGATTTCAGCTTGTGTGACACAGACTATTTCTTCCCCTTAGTGTTTCTATTTCTTCTACTGCCCTTGTTTTTGTTGTTTATTTGCTTTCAATAGTAAGAGCACTGTGACCCTGCTAGCATCCTGCTCGTGACTGTGATTTTTTTTTTCTTCAGACTTAGTCAATATAATTTCTTTTATTTTTTTTTTTTTGACCCTTTTTGGTTGCTGTTTTCATGGCAAGAAAATACTGCATGCTGTTTCTAAGGTGCCTGTTGCAGCAGATCTCTGAGGGATCTGGGATCTGCAGGTGGTCACACAGTTAAATATTTCTTCATTCACGTTTGCCTCCCCCTCTAGATGACTTTGGCTCTGCCACTAATGGAGTCTGACAGGAGTTTTCATCCAAGCAGCAGTGTAGAGGGCATGTAGATGTTCATGCCATCAGACCCAGTGGCAGTCTGGATGGCTGGGATTTTTCACTTACATGTCAGCCCTGAAGAAGACAAATGCACAGTTTTATTGTGCAAACAGAAAACTATTTTTGCAAAGGTTTTTAAAACTCCTGCAGCACCGTTTCCTTGAAGAAGCTTCTGTTGTAGGCTCTCATGTCTTCCCTGTCTTTGTGTGTTCATCATCCTTGTCAGTTAAATAATTTTCTTTTAATTAGTGAACGTACCTGCTTATTACAGAAGTGTCAGCCAAGAAAAGGGGCTGGTGGATTCACTGGAAGCATTATGAAATTTATGGTCTTTTTTTTGAAAGACTTTGATGTTTAGAAAGATGAGGCAGATGTGGTTGGAGAAGAAGACATAACCAGAGAGAGAGAGAGATCCCTGCTTATAAGAACAGGAAACCTTCACAAAAAGGGAACCAAACAAGCAGCTAAGGGACAAATACTCACCCTGTGTACACAGTTTCATTGGAAACCTGCAAATACCACTTTGGAGATCTCAAATGACCTGCAAAGCCAGGACTGCAACACTCCAGGCACATCACCAAGCATTTAGCAGAATTTACACCCAAGGAAATACTGTCCAGGAGGAATCATGAGCTGCTTCCATTAATTTGTAAGCTGTCTGCTTCTGAAAATGCAGTATTTGTGCTGTTTGTGGGAGGTTTAGCATTGCAGTGTTACAGAGCTGGATGTAATTGTAGAAAGGTATGTGTGTACACAAATGTGTTTTCTATTACACTGCAATATCTTACAGACAGGTATTTCTGTCCAGATAGGTTCAGATGCTAATGTGGGGAAAGTTATATTTTACTTATAGGCCTATAAACTCCTTCAGAAACAGATTTTTTTTATTGTTTGAAGCATCCCTTTGTACCTCTCTGGAGATAGTCATCTTATCAATGGAATAACTTGGATGATATAGAAAAAAGTATATTTTTTTTTAATATAGAGATTTTCTCTAATATGAAAATTAGTTCCTCATTATTAAATCATATTCAGGTGTCAGGATTTCTGTTTGAAATACTGATACCTGGGCTTTTTCCTAAGGAGCTGTTTTAGATAGGTGACAGTGCTTGCTCTTTGTCAAACTGCAGGTATATATATATTCTAGGTATGTTTACAATGTTTGCCCTCCATCTAAAATAACTCTTCAAAAATATTTCATTAAGGGATGTAAGAAAAGTCAGAGCATGTCCACCTTCTTGCAGGTGAATCCCAAGTTATGGCTTTATGTGTTTTTCGCTATTGATGTCATTTCTCTGAGGGCTTCCAAAATCTTTCTGAGCAGGACAGCACAAATCTTTGTTTCAGGTGTTTGGCTGGACGGTTACCTGAATCACAGGCAATTTAAATGTCCTTAATTTTTTTATTTTTAAAGTGCAAGTATTTCAATCCTTTTTTTCTTCATTCTGGCATATTTTGATGGGGGAGAGGGGAGGAAAGACAAGGTAGAGGGAAAGAGAGAGGAGACAAGCAATCTTCCATGGCCTCATTGAAATATTTGGCTGACAAAAGCATCATTTTTTTTTAAACTCTAAATCATTAACTAGATAAAACCAGACTACTTTACCTGCCTATTTGTTTTTTAACTGCTCAGAGCTGCAGTCCCAGAGCCCCTTTTCCATGGGACCAGCTGGTCACGAGTGGGCAGCACCACCTGCTGGCATTGCTGGCTGGAATAGCTCAGAGCTGCCTGGAAGTGGGAGCACAGCATCCCAGATGCTGCAGAGGTGTGGAGACAGAGCTTCAGGGATGCTGCTGCTCCTCAGGTGTCACTGTGACATTGTCTGAAAAATCCCTTCGCCAGGATTTCTTCTCCTGGGAAGATGAGAAGCCTCAGCTTCTCCATGTTTTTGCTGCTCTGGAATGTAGACTGGAGATTGGCCATTAATTAAAAACAATTCACATGTTTGGATAAACAATCACAGCCAGCTTTGTTGGACTCTGAGGAGTCCATCATGAGCTTTCATTATCATTCTTTTCTAGCCTTCTGATGTATCCTTTCTTTAGTATAGTTTCAGTATAGCATTCTTTAATATAATATAATGTCATGAAATAATAAGTCAGCCTTCTGAGGGCATGGAGTCAAATTCTCCTCTCTCAGCTTGTCCTGGGGAGCTCACAAGCCCACACTCAGGGACCCAGTGCCACCCTGCTCTTCACTGCACCTGGCACTCGACCTGCATCAATGATTGCTCTGGGTAGATCTTCATCATGTGCTGCAGCCACAGAAAGATTAGGAGGAGTAATTCCATCTCAGTGGATCATGTGGCATGAGACAGCTGGCACGAGGTATTTCAGAGGTGGGAAAGTGCTGTTAAGTAGTGATTAAGTTGTGGTTTGCCCTTTTCTGCCACTGGGCTTCTGAGTCTCTGTGCTCACACAGTGGAGGCAGGAGTAGAACTCCACAATAGTGATGGAATGCATCTGTTTGGAAACAGAAATTTAAAAGATCACTTTTAAACCATGTTGCCAGCTATAACAAGCAAAGGTGATTATTGTGAGTGACTATAAAGAATGTGTGGGCAGTTTCCTGAAGTTTCCCATGCTGGTTAGTTACTCCCCCATGGATGGACTGACCCAGGGCAGGGATACACAGCAAAAACAAACACTCCAGGATTTCCCCAACATTTCTCTGGACTTCCTTTGGGTTGTTTTTCAAAGCTTGGAGGTTGTTATGGTTCAGTCATGTCATAAATGGTTGCTGTAAATTCTCTTGGGAGGAGATGGAGAGGAGCCAAGGATGAATTTCCCAGTGCTTGCTACAGTTCCCTGCCCTGTTATAGCAGTGTGCCAGTGGCTGCAGATCACAGGGTCTCTTTATCATCTTCCAGTGGAAAAGGGGCAGTGGGGAAAAAACCCTACTTTTACATTATAAATGAACAAATGCTAAGGTGGGGTGGAATAAAACTCCAGTTTCCAGCCCCATTTGGCTCTCATTTCCATGCTGGTAGCACTGCAGTAGGTGCAGGAGTTGTGCTCACTTTTGAGAGGGCTGATACTGAGAGGGCTCCCCATCAGAATTAGCTGTCATCTGTGGCTTCTGATTCTTTTCACCCTTAATTTTCCTTTCCTTTAATGAGTCTTAGAGGAATTCTCTTTCATTTAGAAAAACTCTTGGTTTTGCTCCTGAAACCAGGTCTGAGGGGACACCCCATGCATCTGCAGGTAGCTGAGCTCTCTGTGGCTACCAGGTTTCAAAATGCCCCCAGGGAAAAGCACCCATTCTTACAGTGAGTATAAAGACATGCCTTTGTACTCACTGGAATGTGAAACACGTGGTCAGTGCCAGGAGAGGACCCCCTAATTCCCTGCTCCTGCTGCTGTGGTGTCCTGGTGGTCCCTGGCAGTCTGGGGCACTGTCACTGAACTGGGCTTGTGAGCTGCTCATTCCACTGAGCACACACATCTAGAGTGCTTGAGCAACCCCAGGGACAGGGCACACACATCTGGGGACAGGGCACACACATCTGGGGTGTTTGAGTAACCCCAGCAGGGACAGAGCGCACACATCTGGGGTGCTTGAGCAACCCCAGGGACAGGGCACACACATCTGGAGTGTTTGAGCAACCCCAGCAGGGACAGGGCACACACATCTGGGGTGCTTGAGCAACCCCAGGGACAGGGCACACACATCTGGGGTGTTTGAGGACCCCCAGCAGGGACAGGGCACACACATCTGGGGTGTTTGAGCAACCCCAGCAGGGACAGGGCACACACATCTGGGGTGTTTGAGGACCCCCAGGAGGGACAGGGCACACACATCTGGGGTGTTTGAGGACCCCCAGCAGGGACAGGGCACACACATCTGGGGTGTTTGAGCAACCCCAGCAGGGACAGGGCACACACATCTGGGGTGTTTGAGGACCCCCAGGAGAGACAGGGCACACACATCTGGGGTGTTTGAGCAACCCCAGCAGGGACAGGGCACACACATCTGGGGTGTTTGAGCAACCCCAGCAGGGACAGGGCACACACATCTGGGGTGCTTGAGCAACCCCAGGGACAGGGCACACACATCTGGGGTGTTTGAGCAACCCCAGCAGGGACAGGGCACACACATCTGGGGTGTTTGAGGAACCCCAGGGACAGGGCACACACATCTGGGGTGCTTGAGCAACCCCAGCAGGGACAGGGCACACACATCTGGGGTGTTTGAGGACCCCCAGGAGGGACAGGGCCACTCAACACCCACTGAAGCCTCAATGTTTGGACACCTGTGTGGAGCTGCAGGGACAGTATTTAATGACACAGTGATTTAACCCATCCATTGCTCAAAAGCTCAAGTGGTGCCAAGTGCAGTCACACTGAGCACAGACAGAGATAATGAGCTTACTCAGTGGGTTCATGTTTTATGTTACTGCTGTCAAATATTTTCTTACCAAAATCATTGGCTGTCTAAACTGCTGAGTTTATACAAGTCCATTGTAATTCGTGCAGTGATTAAATATTAAACTAGAGTTTATTTTCAGAGGAAATAAATTTAGAGCAGACCACTTTGTTCTTTAGCAGAGGATCTCTGCTCCTGTCAGCTAGGAGATGGAGCAAGCATTCTTCCCTCTAATAGCATAATTATTCAAAAATGTTTGCAAGGATCTCTTTGTAGAATTTGTGCTTATGCTTTACTGTCATTCTTTTATTTCAAAATGTGGGTAAGATTTTTCAGATTCAACAGCTGACAAAGTGATGCAGGTTTGCAAAGAAAATTTGGAGGAGAAAGAGCCCAATTGCATGTGGGAGATTTATTTATTTATATAGAAATCTGAAACTAAAGATACTTTGCCATGCCATTTAATTTTAAAGATTTACAGAAACCTTCTTCTGGTTCTTAAGAAATTGTAAAGTTTAACTTCACAGAGACCTGAGGCACTGCTTGCAAAGCAAAAAATTAACATAAGATTAGATACCATCAGTTTCTTAAGCATTTTTAACACACAGCAGAAAATGCTTTTATTTTAATAAATGATGTTTTTAGCATTAATAAGTTTTGAAAAAGAAACCTGTTTATTTTAGCAAATTTTGAGTATGCCCTTGCTCTTGCAGCATAAGACAGAAAAAAAGCTGCACTCTTGGGTTTGATCAGGTGTAGCTACTGATGCCTTGGCACGTGGGCACCTGTGTGGGTGTTTCCATGTGAAACCTAGAAAAACATCTACCTTAACTTTCACTGTCATTTTCATACCATTTCCTGTGTCCTTCTTCTCCCTTTTCCCATCTTATTAGCACAGATTGGAACCTTCTTTGGGGAAGGGACAGCCAATCCTTTGAATCCATAATATTTCCTGTGCTCTAATGGGATGTTTTTCCCCGGTGTAAAGGTCTCCCAGGCCTGCACCTCGAGTGCACTGAGCACATCATTAATCCAAAGCGTGTGCTTGCTGAATTTCCCCTCGAGCAGGCCGCAGAAATGTCTGTGTCTTTGTGCTGAGTGAGTTTGATGTGCTCTAGTGGCTGTGAGTGATGAAGAGGAAGGAGGGATTCTCTTTGACAATGTGGCCAAATCTGCCGTGGACCCCTTCGACACCTCCTCGGGCTCGGTGCAGCTCATCGCCATCAAACCCGTGGCCCTCCCTGCTGTCCATGCTGCTTCAGAGAGGAGCCAGGAGTCTGCCATCACCAATGGGGAGGTAAGGACTGCCTGAGAAGTGTCTCCAGGTGTTTCCTTGGCTACAGTCACAAGTGGAAGGATCTTAAGCCTATTAAAGCTGAGGGCTGCTAGGAGCTTGTCACCTTTATGCTACATAAAGTTCCATTAGCACTGTGGGTGCACAGACCTGAGAATTTAAGATCTGCTCTTTCACAATGCACCTGTGAATGCCTGCGACCTTGGAAGAGGTGATTTTCTATATTCCTACCCTCCCAGTGTCCCTCTCTCCTATTTAAAAAAAATGATGAACGAAGGCAGCAGAATAACATCTTTTCCTATGTGAATTCTGTAGCTGGTTATGAAAATGTGTATAGATCATCTGGGTGCCAGGCTGATCTTTCTGTACTGAGCACCATATCTCAATCAGAGTGAGAAGGGGGGCAGTGGGACCCTGGCCTTGCTCTGCACTCCAGCCTCTTCCCTGCACAGAGGGTGCACTTGTTTTGAAGGAAAAAAATGAGATGGCACGAATGTCTGCTCCAGATGCTGGCCAAAAAGCATGCTTTGACTGCAATACTTATTTTATACTCATGTTTTAATGTAGGTTTAATCAAGACCAGTCCATTTACAAAGGACCGAGGCTTTCATGAAGTTGTTGAACATGATGGGAACAAGCCACAGAGGTGCCTTGTTTACAAACTCGCATTGCAGCAGTCATTTAAACAGCTAAAAACAGTTTAAAAGCAGCAGGGAGGGCTGCTGCCAGGGACACTGTAAAAGACAGAGGTCCCATGTGGTCCTGGATTATTGCAGCCTGTTGTGCTCCATTTCATACTGGCATTTTAAGTCCTGATGTGCCATGTAGCTTCCAAACTTGGAGACAGGCTTATTTAGCATTCAACATCTCTTTTCTGTAAGGCAGCAGGATGACACTGCTGGTGCTGTCTGCACCCTTACACACACACTTCCTGTAGTTTGAGGAGATTGTGGAATTTGACTATGGAAGATGAAGTACATCCCTGATTTCCAGGTAACTTGCAGTTTGAAGCATGAGGGAAGTTTTTTCAGTACTTTAGAGAAACCATGGGACTAAGCTGTATCAGGATGGAGCAAACACCCATTTTTTAAAGGTTCCTCTCTGACAGGAGTGTCACAGACATGTTTTATGAAAAATCTTTTCTTTAAGATTTTTTCTCTTGAGAAGCTGAGAAGCCTCAAGAACAAAATGTAAACAATAATTATCTGCTGCTGTGGAATGCAACAAGTGGATCTGTGATTGGTTTGTGTTAGTGGTTTCTAATTAATGGCCAGTCACAGTCCAGCTGTCCAGACTGTCTTGGTCAGTCACAAGCCTTTGTTATCATTCCTTTTCTATTCTTAGCTAGCCTTCTAATAAAATCCTTTCTTCTATTCTTTTAGTATAGTTTTAATATAATATATATAATAAAATAACAAATCAAGCCTTCTGAAACATAGAGTCAACATTGTCGTCTCTTCCCTCATCCTAAGACCCCTGCGAACACTACCACACAGAAAGTGTATAAACAAAATGGACATTTGATGACATTTCACTGGACTTCTTCCCCAGCCATCAGTGGTGACTTATTTCAGGTTTTGTGCAGTCAGGGGGGATGTCTCTGTGCCCCAGCAGAGTTTTCATGGTTACAGAGTTTTCATGCTGTGCCCTGAAGCACATGCAGCGCTGGGTCGTGGCGGTTGGCTGACACCACTCGTGTTTTTCCTCAGTGGGTGTCTCTGAGTCACTGTTGTAACGGTACACAGTTTTTTTAGGCTAAAATTATTTAACCATCTGCCAAGCCATAAAAATGCAGCGGCTCTGTTCACTTGCAGTTCCTCGCTGCTTGCAGATGGCACGGTGTGCTACAGAGGGATGACACACGCGGCGCATCAAACACGCGCTGACGAGATCCTTTGGAGGTAGCCAGCCCACCAGCAGCCCTGAAACATCTTCTTGCCTTTTAGGTGAACAAGGCTTTGAAGCAGAAGTCTGATATAGAGCACTACCGCAACAAGCTGCGCCTGAAAGCCAAGAGGAAAGGGTACTATGATTTCCCACAGGTTGATAACAGCAAGGCACTGACAGACAGAAAAAGGATGTATGAGAAAAATCAGAAAGAACTTGACCATATTTTGGATCCAGATGCAGATGTCTCATCTCCATTTGCTGAGCCTAAGAACAGGTGAGACTTTTTATTTGCAGTTCTTCATCTGGGAGGAGAGTTGATGTCCTGGGAGTCAGGGGGGCCATTTTAGTGAGCCAGGTGTTTGTTGTATCTGGTCACTGGCCCCTTCTGCATTATGAAGAAAATTCATACAGCCCATGGAAAACATGTTCTCTGGTAAAACTGCAGTGTGGATAAAAACAAACAAATGGAAAGAGAAAAAATAAGGGAAGGGACTGTTGCAAGTTCTTGTGAGTCATTCTCAAAGGTAAACAGAAAAAGTGGTAGTAATGTTATTGGTGATACTCAGAGCAGACTTTAGGCAGGAAGTTAGCATCTGGATTGGTTCTTTTTCAAAATACAGTGGTGTTACTATTTTGTCACTATTTTAATCTGAATATGACTATTGCAGAGGGCATGAGATAGCAGAACCAGTGCATAGTCCCTGTAAGTCCTGCAGTGATAGTATCTGTGTGCCTGTTATTGGTGATCTTCCTGTGCCTTTAACAGAGAAATTCATAGTTTGCTCATCTGTCACGTGAAGCTGGCATGTTGTATAACATTGCCAATGTTTGATTAACACTTCACTGTCTCCTGAGGATGGCATAGCAGTAGCATTCAAAACCCCATTTTAGAAATGAGGAGGGAGCGCAGGTGCTGATTGTGCCTGAGCTGTGGGTGGGTGCTCTGTTGCTGGTGCTCTCTGAAACACAAACTGGCACATTGGAAAGAGGAGATCACACCAGTCCTACCCCAGGAATGGCACAGTGTGCAGATTCCTCTCCCTTGGAAGCTCTGGAGGATGAGGGATGGTAAGAGAGTGTGTTTGCCATTGCACCTTACACAGGAGGGCTCTGGTTCTTACTGTAATCAGGGACTAACATCAGTTGATCCATGAGAGAAAAAGGGATACTGAAGCACCTTTCCCCTGCAAATGGCCCTCACGCCTGCAGGTGCAATCTTGCATCCCATCTCCTGGAAAGCTCAGACCAGAATTTTTCTATGAGCATCAGTGGACTGCAATCAGAGCATTGCTGGTGACACAGGCACTGCACACAGTGCAGCTGCAGCAATTACCCTCTGGGCACAGGCATGAAAAAGACTGTAATGGGAATTACAAGAGCACTGTTGCCTCAGATTATGGGCAAAAGTTGAGATCAGATGTGTTTCTGTAGGTCTAGAGTTCAGTGGCTGAGGGATACTGCACTGGAAGAGCTGTTTGCCAGGGCTGCAGAGGTCACTGAGGAGAAAAGACTGACTCAGCTGTATGTTATGTTGGATGTCCTGGGGCACCATTTCCTTGTGGAGTTTTCCAATTTATTGTACACTGAGAAGGTAAAAAATGGAGCCTGTCCTTACATGGGAGCCCTGCTCTGCACACTCTGTGTCCAGGAGGTACAGACAGAGCACTGGGAACTTGTGTTGAGGAATGCATTTACTCCAGACAGAGCACTGGGAACTTGTGTTGAGGAATGCATTTAGTCCAGAGTCCCTCAACACATTGGTGTGGCTGTGACACATTAATTTGGATGCTTATTATGTGTCACATGGCTCACAGGAAGTGTTTAAAGTTTTAAACTCAAGCTCTAACACAGCCACGTGCCTTTTGTTAAACACACTGATGTTTGTTCACGTGCCAGTGTGTGGGAGGATCCCATACATATTTTCCTGTGCGTTGTGTAAATTTGCCACAGTTTATTTCAGCCAGGGATCCCTGGAATGACAGAAACTGCTGGGAGGCAGGGAAACTCCTGTGGAGGAATGATTCCAGCTGCACCGTGAAAGGCTGGCTGCTGGACTTGTTAAATATATGACCTGTATCCCCACATGAGGAGAGAGAATTGCTTCTGATGCATTTCTGTGAAGACACAGAACACTTAATTAACTTTACAGATGCTGCAGTGTTTACAAGCAAACCAGTTCTGAATTCTGTGCTAAAATTTCCACACTAAGACTTGGAACTGAATTTGGTATGACAATTATTGCCCTTAGTTTTCTAAGATGGCTAAAATGTTACACTGCTGGAGGAAAACCTTGAGAAACACAACAAGGTAGTGTGGGGTTTGGTTATTGATAAATGAATCAATACAATTGCATTTCTGCAATGAGATAAAATTGCTTTAAAAGCAATCTGGGTAAGCATATTTTCTGTTTTTTATATATTCCTCTAACTTAAGTTGCATTGTTACAGTACTTCCAAAACATATCAGAAAATAGAGATGCAGCTGATTACTTAAGGTTACCTTTATATTTTGAATTAATTTAAAATTTTATTTAAAAGTGATTTACAAAGCATTGCTGCCAAATGATTTGGTTTTTTTTCCAGAACAGAGCTTTGTGCTCTAGGTACCTTTCAGTCATCAGTACCATAATCCTCATGTTTTAAAACATTCCAGCTGTGTTCCCAGAAGGCACTTCCTAACCCATTTGAATGCCAGTTGTTCCTGTTCATACCTCCTTTCTCATTAGTAAAACTCTCTTAAATGAGGTAATTGGCAATCTCAAGGTAATTTTTAAGAGCCTAATGATGAAATGCACCGTTCTTGGGTTTTCTTTAATAGTTTGCAATCAGGTCAAGAATCTGCACGTTTCACAGAGCTGAATATTTGAATCCGTTATAAAATATATCACAATTGCCTCACTAAGTATTTATGGACCTATTGTAAAACATATGAAATTTTGGAGACCTTTGATGTAAGAAGATGGAGATTGTCAGATCTGGTTACCCTGTGCATAACCCTGTTTTCTGTTAATACCAACGATATAGTCAGAGAAAGACTATATAGCAAGAAAGAATTTACTCAATATTATTTTTCTAGGAGAACCTTATTCCAAAAGCCCTGCTTGCCTTCTGCTTTGGAAGTGCATTTGGGACTTTGAAACACAAGCATGGTGATTTGTGATCAAAGGTCACACAGAAGTTTTGGAAAGTTGTCTTAGAACTAAGTACATGCCTGAGTAATTTATTTAATCAGAAGCGTGAAATTGGGTTTTTTTGTCCTACCTTTTATCCTGTCTGATCATGTAAATGTCCTACTTCCTGGATTTCTGCAAACCAGGTTCTGCTGCTCTAATCTGTCAAGGCAAAAAGTGCTGTTAACAAGATGTGGAATAACTGAAGAATTATTTATCAGTGAATTAATTTGGACTGTCTTGTCTGTTCATTTCATTGATGGTTCTTGAGATGTTAAACCATGGAGTGACTTGAAAATGTGACTTCAGACATAATAGTGCAACTTGCCTTACTTCACTATGAGCACTGGCAGGTCCTCTGTGTGAAATAAGCAGCACAGAGACATGTTAGATGACCTGATCTAATTTTAATATTCTGAATGGAGTAATTGCACAAGGCAGAAAAATAGCATGGCTAGGCAAAGATAACTTTGTATCAGGCTCTAGCAGTGTAATTGCTGTGTTAATAAATGAAGCTGGCATGCCATTATTTCATCTGTTACTGATCTACTTCAGGAGCAGTGCTCCTCTGGAGTGTGCAAGAAAATGAGTAATGACCAGACAAAGCATGAGAACAACTCACAAACTCTGCTGGTGTAGAAGTAGCCTTCCTAAAAGATGCAGCTTGATGAAGCATAAAGTTCCTGTAGCACCATTTGGCAAACCCTCCTGCAGATATGTACAGATATGCTCTGTATTTCACAGAGGGATGCTGCATTTGTTTTTGTATAACCAGCAATGAGAGCAGAAATTGTTTTGCTGGAGAGATATCCAGGTATTTTGGATATTCAGTTTTATTCTGCCTTTCTATTGCATTTCCTTCCCCTTGGCTTGGAGCACCCAGCAGTGGAAGCTCAGTGCCCAGGGATGAGCAGCCCTTTGTCCCAGTGAAGCAGCTGAATGCCAGGAAGGACAGCTCTCTGAGAAAGCTGTGGCCAGTTACCAAACTGGCTATTTAAAACCAGCATCTTGCAACAGTTTCCTCCCACTGCTGTGTCTCATGCCATTCCCTGTGCTGGGGGTTTGTTTCAGTGGAGCTTTTTCCTGCTTCTCTCTCAGCGCTCAGGATCAGCAACCAAAATCTCTGCTCCCCATATGTGTGTGTGGGAGAGCCTGTTATTTTTTAATATGTTTTTTAAAATGAGTTTGAATCATATCAGCTGAAGTTAAAAGGGTCCTGATATCTTCTTGGGACATATTTCATCTGGCAAGCTCCCACATACAATGTCCATGTCTTTTACGTAACTTTTATTTTCCTTAAACTGTAAAAAACAATTAATCACCTCTTACAAAGGTTACTGATTTCTAGCACTTCATGTATGTAGAAAGAATATCCTGTAACGAAGTGGCATTTTTATGAACATCATAATTTTAGAATAAACGTGAGTATTGGCAATTACTGTCTGTCATTATTTTTTCTTTTTTCATTTACCATTTTCTTGTTTCATGTTTTCTAGGCAGCCCCTGAAGAACTCAGTGTACAGAAGCAGGCAGTCCCTGAACAGTCCCAGCCCAGGGGAAACGGAGATGGATCTGCTGGTGACTCGAGAAAGGCCGAGGCGTGGCATCCGGAACAGTGGATATGATGTAAGTTTATTGGGTACGGGCACAGAAATCTGCTCACCAAAGCTTTGACTTGCTCCAGGCAACAATTGATAAGCCACAAGACAGATTGCCATGAGATATTTAGTGTTACAGGAGTTCATGTGCACTCAGCATCCCGAAGAAAGCTCAGACTCTTTTGTGTACTTTCTCATTCTACATCAATTTACAGTCTGAAATGCAAAGAAAACCTTTGCCCAAGCCCCATTATTTGCCAAAGTATTGAATCTTGAATTTAGATAGTTCTTGTAAGTGTGTGGCTACTTGACAGTGAGCTTTCTTCATTGCAATTAAAATCCTCTGTTCTGAAGAACAGCCTGGAGCTGCTCTCTTGGTTCAGAAGAATGAACAGAGGATGAACTTAGGAGTTCATCCTAAGAACTAAGTCCCAATGGCAGTGTTTTTGGAAATCCCCTGGGGACAGGGATTGTCCTTTTGCTCCCATCAGAACTGGGAGAGTTTTGTGTAGGTAAATGTCAAACCCAGCCAGATGTGATGCTGCTTTGTGGTCCAAGGAGCTCATGCAGGCAGCACAAGGAAGAGGAGTTGTCTTGTGCAGTCTGAGCAAACACTGTGTGCAAGTTGATGCTGTGTGAACCCAGAAGGAGGATTAAAAATATCCCCCCCCACTGGGGAAATGTTGAGTTTTTCAATCCTTTGTCACATGTGCAAACTACTGTTGCTCAGCCAGCCCTGAGGATCAGTCCCTAGAGAGGGTCTAAACCATTCTGGAAAACAAGGAAGTTCACCTGTGGTTGCCATCCTCTAAACATTGTAGGTGAAAAACATTTTTTGTGTGGGGATGTTTCATTGTCAACCCTCTCTCTGCCAGGAATGTGATTTTAGCAAGGAGAAAGAAAGTACCAAAGCTGGGGGGATGTGTTCAGGAAAGTTTAAACCTTTTACAGTATTCTTCAGGGCAGGTTGTAGTTGTCAGATTTCTGAAATGATTCCCTGCATTTGGACACTTCCCATCAGACTGTAGGAGTCATGTGGAGCTGTGTGAGTGGGCTGACTGGTGCACTGCTTTCTGAGGAATTAGGATGCAAATACTATGCTAATAAAAGCTAGTTTTTCACAGGGGATATTTCCCTGGAAATCAGTGTTGAAAACATTCGGGGAGCAGGCACGGCAGCAGATTTTAAAAATATATTTCAATATATTGTGTATGCTATATATAAACCATTTTAAAAAGAAAATGTATTAAAAACCTTGGAAGTAGATTAATGAGCTTATGCAGATTGTGGAGTGTCCTCAGAGTAATTGTAAGCTGTGAGATGTGTGCACATCACGGAAAAAATTGCTTTTGCCTTGCCTTTGGTGCTGCAGTCGGGCAACCTGTCCCTGGCACAGTGCTTCACTGACAAGTTACATAAAATCCCTCTGCCCGATGCACTGCAGATTCACTGCAGTGCACCTCTTCCAGCTCTGAATGCATTTCCCATCTGAAAGCACAGAAATGCTGCTGGGAAATGGGACAGGATATTGAAATTTAGCTGCCAAGCCTGAGCTGCAGCGTGGGCTGGTCCCCCTCTCCTGTTTGAGGCTCCTGGGAGCTGTGTCTGACAGGCTCTGTCTCCCAGGATACCCACTGATGGCTGCATCCATGGAATTCATGGATCTCACCAGCTAAACACCTCTGCAAATCTGACCTCTGAAAATGGGTGAGGAAGGGCTGCTCTGAGTGCTGACTCATGTGCCCTTTCTGTTTCATACAGCAACACCTGGCACCCATTTTTGACATCCAATTTGTCATATTAATGTTCCAGCCTTCTCTGAGTGCTGCTAAACTCTTCCTCCCAGCATGTTCTTTAGCAGCAGGTGCTGCCAAAGAATAGTGAAATCTGCATTTTATAAGCAGTGCCAAATCATTCAATTTATGAATCAAATAATTCGTATTGCCTAAAAAAAGTTGGGAGACTTTTTTACAGCATAAAAATTTGTGGAGGGAATTTGATCTGTTACCAGTACACCCATGTTATGTGTTGAGGTTTTTCTTCCCAATAACAATAAGGCTTTTATTTTTAAAGAAAAGAGATTGAGATCTCCCAGATTCTTTAAAAAAACTTTTTAAGAATTCCTCATTCATGTGTACAACCACAAGGTTTCCTTTCAATAACAAATTTCTAAATGATTTTCTAAAATACTTCATTCATACTTTTCTAAAAATACTTCATTCTCTGTAATTAATTTTTGTGATATTTCTTTGAATTGTGGTTCTGTTTCTCAGAGCTAAAAACTGGTGAAGATATGAGGATAAAGATACAATATTTTACATTTGTGCATATGAAATATGTAGCTTTTAATATTATTTTGGAGTATACGTTCTACTGTTTGATGTTCTCAGTATATTACTTGCCTTCATAGTGCCTTTATAAATGAATTATTATTGAACAGTATCTAGCTTTCCATTTTAAAGAATCCCAACAGGTTTCACTATCATCACTTTCAAGTAGGAATTAGATTCAGAAGACTTTATTAACATGTTCATTATTTTCAACAAGTTCATGAACAACTCTGTGTAGAGTACATGCCATAACAGAAGATTCTAGAACCTCTAGACTGCTCTAATGATTTATACCAGAGCAGAAAATATTTAGGCTGGTTTTGCTATCAAAGGAAGAAAATGACCTTATTATACATATCTAAATAATCACTATACAAAAGAATTCATGGGCATAATTTAGTTGATATAGCTAAATTAATGCAATGCACCCCAAAGGTTATAGATTAACGTTCACATAAAGAATTTTACTGATAATGTTGCAGCAGCAGAATTATTCAAGAGATGTAGAAAGTCTGTCTCTCACTGCAGGGTTTTGTTTGCTTTTTTCATGTACCTCGAGTTCCTTCTATTGTACAGTACCTGTGTATGATTTTGTGTAATGGTGGCCTCTATTTAGGATAGCTAAGTGTTTCTGCTGAAAGGATAACAAACAAAATAACAAATAACACTCAGAAAGGGATAGGATGAATTGAAATAGATTTTAAAATAGGAGGAAAAGAAATTATTATTAGTTTTCTGCAAAATCTACATGTCAGCTTTTATACTGATGATTCAAAGCTGCCTTAATGTTGGCCGCTATTATGAATCTTGTATACATGTGATATATTTTAAACATTCTGTGGGGGTCTAATGGCTTCAGCAGTGAGTTGTAGTAAAAAAACTGATTTATTTCAGCATTGGGTACTAATAGGTCTATGTGGTATTCCACTCGCAATTTTGCAGGCAAGAGCAAATGGAAGAACCATGGTTGTTAATCATCCAGTCAGGATATTATGATTTCAGAGGCTCTTTGGCTGCATTTACACAAACTACCATTGCATTTTATAGTCAGCTTTCTAAAATGTGTCTGATTTTTATTTATTGTAGCAACACAAGCACCAATGGAATCAAAATGAAGGAATGAAATTATGGGAGAGGTTTTAGTTGAAGATTTCCTACGAAGTTGTTCCATTTAAGATAATTTGGTGCAGTTGCATTCCCCTTCCCCCAGTCTGATGTGTGTACCACTTGGGAAGCCTGAATTTGAGTTTCTGGCTTTGAATTTAGATAATATACTGTGTAACTATGACTATGTAAATTATGGTTAAATTCTAATGTGCAAATGTTTAATTTTTATCTTAATTTTTCTTTCTTTTTTACTGCCATACTTTCATTCAATACAAAATAGGTATGCTTAAAACAAGGAAAGCAAATTAGCATTTTACTTAGATTTATTATCAGTTTTCACTACCAGTATAACTCTTTTATGAGTGGCTGATAACAGAAAAAGAACACCAGTTTGGTATTTCCCTCTGAAAAGGAATAAATATATTTTATGATTGTCCCACAGCTTACAAAAGCTTGGGGGCACAGTCACTTATCTTTTTCCCCTGTAATAGTGATTTTCTACACCTGAACAGATATGCCACACTAGGAGCTACAGAACTCCTAGTGAAATGATCAGGATAGTGCTGGAATTTTTAACAAGAACATCCTGTTGTATTCTTTTATTTAGGGCTATTTTAAACACTAGCACAGTTTCTAAGCACATGCTATATATAGAAGGAGGCACAGATCCTTTTGCTCATCCCAGTTATCCTTCACAGTCCATGCATTTTACAGGTATTTAAAGAATTATAGTCATATATTTATTATTATATATTTATATATGATATAATTATAATTATAGTTGCTGGTTAGAAACATATGTTTTTAAAACTCTGGGCTGTAAAATTGATCTTAAAAAATACAGATGAAGTGTGGTATTCCACTTTCAGCTTCTTGCAATGTGATTGATTTCTGTCATGGAGTTAGAGCCAAAAAAAAGCAGGGAGATGATTTCTGTTTGTACTTATCTGTACAGTAGGAATCACCCTAGGAGTAGCCCTTCAAGCTAAGCTGCCCAAGCACTGTCTGGCTGTGGGAGAATGTGCTTCATTCCCTGTTCCCAGGTTAACTTTGCATAAATACCTGTGACTCCTGCATGGGGGCTGGGTAAGACCCGTGGGCTGGGCCACGGTGTTCTCTGCAAGGGGCAGGGCTGAATTTGTGATGTCATTGTGGAAGTTCAGAAAAACTCCTGAAGTTTAGTTCTTCAGAAATCTTAACGTGAGAGCCTGAACAAAGGAATTTCAGTGTCTCTAGCTGTAATAATCTGTCCCTTGTAAGGGGTCCTTCACAGTGATGGCACTATTTGGGGAACCTTACTCTTCCTGGCACAGTTGCACTGCCATTGATACAACTAAGACAAGAATTCAAATGTTAATTCTAATTGGTTTAAAGTGAGCCATTGACAGTTTAATCTGCTACAGAGTGTCCCTGCTACTTTTCCCAGCAAAAAATGTAGAATATAAAGGGCTATTATACTCCCCTGCATTGTATTATTCATTTCCAATATTTGTTGTGTGTCTATATCATTATTGCTGCTTTCAGTAAAGGGATGGGACCACAGTTGGGCAAAAAATGATTTATTGCTCAGATAAACATCAGTATCAGAGGCTGTGATATTTATGAGAGCGAGCAGTTGGCCATAGCACAAAGTAGTCACAGGTTTTTTGTTACAAGACAATATATAACTTTTTAATCCAATGGACAGTTGCCATAGGGTTTATTTTGCTTTCCTAACCTATTACCTTTACTTCTACTGCAGTGCAGATACTTTTATCTAACAAGCTACTATTACACATACACACCTATGCTTCTATTAGAAATCTAAACTCTTAGCTTATTCTATACAGTTACACCCCTACATTATAAACCCTTCACCATCTTATTAATACAATTTTTTACTTTCTAAAGACATATTCTTACTTACAACTACAGAAACACACATTTATGATTTTTCTGCTTAATGTCTGTATATTTTATTTTTACATCAACCCAAGCTTCTCCCAAGGCTGCACATCAAACCCTCCTGTGTCTGTGGAAGTTTCTATTTTTCCATTTCCCACATGTCTACATTGTTACAATTCCCGATTGTGTGTGCGTTATGTCTGCGTGTGTTACATCTGTGTGCATTACGTCTGGGTGAGTTACGTCTGGGTGAGTTATGTCTGCGTTACGTCTGTGTGTTACGTGTGCATTACGTCTGGGTGCGTTACATCTGCGTGTGTTATGTGTGCGTTACGTCTGCATAGTTATGTGTGCGTTACATCTGTGTGAGTTATGTCTGTGTGTGTTACGTAATATGGATTAACATCTGGGTGCGTTATATCTGCGTGTTATGTGTGCGTTACGTCTGCGTGCGTTACGTCTGTGTGTGTTACGTGTATGTTACGTCTGGGTGCGTTACGTCTGCATGGTTATGTGTGCGTTACATCTGTGTGAGTTATGTCTGTGTGTGTTACGTAATATGGATTAACATCTGGGTGCGTTATATCTGCGTGTTATGTGTGCGTTACGTCTGCGTGCGTTACGTCTGTGTGTGTTACGTGTATGTTACGTCTGGGTGCGTTACGTGTGTGTTACATGTGCGTTATGTCCGTGTGCGTTATGTCCGCGTGCGTTATGTGTGTGTTACGTCTGTTTGTGTTACGTGTATGTTACGTCTGGGTGCGTTACGCATGTGTTACATGTGCCTTATGTCCGTGTGCGTTATGTCCGTGTTACGTCTGTGTTACGTGTGTGTTATGTCTGTGTGCATTACGCCTGTGTACGTTACATGTGCGTTATGTCTGGGTGCATTATGTGTGTGTTATGTCTGTATGCATTACATCTGTGTGTGTTACGTCTGTGTGCGTTATGTCTCTGTGAGTTACGTCTGTCTTACCTCTGTGTGTGTTATGTCTGTGCGCGTTACGTCTGTGTTACATCTGTGTGCGTTACGTCTGTGTGCGTTATGTCTGCGTTTGAGAATTGTCCAATGGCACAAATGCTATTTGTAAATGCTATCAAAGCATGTGTAAGGCCTGTGACATCCACTTCTATTCCCCCCACCAGACCGAGCCTGAAATCATAGAAGAAACCAACATTGACCGCGTCAACGAGCCGCGGAATTACGGCAGGGCCCGTCAGGCCAAGGGCCACTCGGAGACGTCGACGCTGAGCTCGCAGCCGTCCATCGACGAGGTGCGGCAGCAGATGCACATGCTGCTGGAGGAGGCCTTCAGCCTGGCCTCTGCTGGCCACGGGGGCCAGCCCCGGCAGGACGCCTACGGCTCGGCCCCACACCTGCCCTACTCCGAGGTGGTGACCAGTGCCCCCGGCACCATGAGCCGGCCGCGGGCGGGCGTGCAGTGGGTGCCCACCTACAGGCCAGAAATGTACCAGTACAGCTTGCCAAGGCCCGTAAGTGGAGCTTCTCTTTGCCACACTGTAATGTCAGAAGGGTGCTTCTGTTCTGAGCCATGTGTTTTTTTAAAGTAGTCCCATTTAGGTGCTTAAAACCACAAAATAAGTGTGTGTAGGGTGATGTGATATATATACATCTACATGTGTGCTTGCCTAGACACCAACCTGGACTTTGCAGTTGGGCTACACACATACACCATGAGCCACACACGTACACCATGAATGACTCTATTTTATTAGTATTTATTTCAGCAGCAAGGTTGTCTTGTCTAAGTTGTACTAAGATTTAAAAGAATAGTCTTCAGAATAGGCTGAAGATTTAAAATAGCTGTTCAACAGACCCCAAACTCTTGGAACCCTGCTGCTGAGAATTTTAGACTTTCTGTACTGATAGGCACTGATCCCCGAGAGAACACTGTGTTTCACCTGAAGCTGTAGAGAAAGATTCCAAAATTAAATGATAGAACTAAGATTATAAGTGTATTGTTTGAATAGAAGTGTGTAATATCACATAGTGGAAAACTGAGAGTTTTAGAATGTAGTAATATATTTAAAACAAGATACATGTTTTAAGGCTGGTCCTTAAGACTAGATAGACCTTTAGAAGCTAGTCCTTCTTTTTCACCTTCTTGTTCATGGGCTTAAGTAATATTATGTAATTAGATAAAAAAGTCCACATTATGAACCACAGGTACTCAGTTATTAAGGTAAAAGGAAAAATATTTTACGTATCATTTCTTAATTAAACAGTTTTTCCTTAAAAAGCCTTGTAGAGAGAGAAATATGACTCAATTTTTAGTTGTTAGAGTGAAGTGCTGTACAACTCACACCAAACTTGTTTGCACATCTCTTTCTGCTCAGGTAATGGATATTAGGAAGAAATGTGGTTTTATGGATTAACTATGGTGACATCTGGGTAGGGAACACCAACTCTTCTGCATCACTGGGGAGGTTCAGCACTGAAAAGCAACATGAAATGTGGGCTGTAATTGGTAGTCTTGCACTTACAGCTATTAGCTTGGGTCTCTAGAGAAGAAATCTAGAGAAGATTGAATTCCACAGGTCTCAGCTGACCTTATAACTGACTTTATCCTTCATTTTCTAGCCTCAAGCAGCTCACCTTGCAGGGTAATACGTGAATTAGGAACTTAAACCTGAGGGTGGAAATTGTTAATGGAATTTTGTAGGGGTCTAGACAGCAGTGACACCAGCACTGTGCACACCCTCACGTGAGAAACTGCCCCTGAATTCCCACATATGGTAATGTGAAACTCAACAATATATTTTCTTTTGTGTCGGATACAAATCTAAACCAAGAGGTGATTGCTTTCAGATATGGAATAGCCCATCTAACAATACCAATGTGATAAATTGTTCATTTTAAGGCCTTTTTTTGGTCAGAATATTTTTTTAAGAATATATTTCAAATTGAGTTCCTAACACTCTGGCTCGAATAAGAGGATAATGCAGAAAAATGTCCTCAGTTCAAAATCACCCTTACCATGACTTCCTTGACAATAAAAAATACATTAAGGGATGCTCCTTCTGAACTATTCTGAACACAGCTGAAAGCCAGTGCAAAGGTTCAGGTTGGTGCTATTTAAATCATGCTTAGGTTATTTCTGGCACTTTGAAATTGGTCCGATGAAATTCGTACAGCATATAATCATTTTTTATGGTTAGAATTCGATTAAAAGCTTAAGAGACAGCTAATAGGGAGTCAAACTACCTTGACACTTAAAAGAATCCTTCTTAAATGAAATTCAAAATATTATATGGTGAGAGGTTTTTAAAAAAATATAATAGCCTAACTCTTCTCATGGTGAATGATTCACTGTTGTCTTTCTAAGACTTATTACTCTCCTAAATCATCTGCATGTTTGGAACCTTTTGCTTATCTTTCTGGCATTCTGAAGACAGAGTTAAATAGTTGAATTCCCTGCAGATAGTTGATTGCCACAGATGAGTATAGGCACAGACTGCTGGGCTTTGGATAAGGGCTGGTAATTCATAGTTTTCTGCATATCAGTTTCAAGTATATGCACTGTGCTTCAACCACCCCATTTCATGGTTTGTTCTCATGGGCATGGAGGGTTGGAATTGAAAATATCCCCATCTTTGGGGATGAGAGGTACCTGTGCACTGGGATGTTCGTTACCTCTATAAACCAATAATTAGTAATTTTTCCCTTTCTTAAAATTCAGTTCTGAGTGGCAATTAGAAGTCAACATCAACAATGCTGTTACAATTCAAACCACTGAGCATTTTGAAAATGAAAATTTCATCTTTGAAAATTCAAGGGCATTTTGTCTGCTTAGATGGAGCAAGTGCTGAGGGGTCCAGAGCCACTCTTTAGTTCTGTGTTGCTTCCGGTGTCCTCCAAATTGTGGATCTTTATTTTTTTGTAATCAACTTCTTGGCTAGTCCCACCATCAATCATTTGTGTATCTCTCCAGAGTGTGCACACATTTTTTTTTTTTCCTTCTCCTTTTTCTTCTCCCTTTTGAGGCCTTCTGCGTATTTTTTATTTGTTTGTTTGGGTTTTTCTGTACATGCTGCCATTAATACTGAAATTATCTGTAGCTCTTGTGAGGGAATGCCTGTTTGCCAACCTGCCTGTTGGGTGACCTGTGAAAAGAGGATTCCTCCACACGGGGCTCATGCCTTCTCCTGGCAGAGGAAAGCCAGTGGAATGCAAACTCTCCCTGTTGTTCTGGAGCTTCCAAAACGTGATGAGTAATACTTGGCTGAGTCCTTGGCACCCAGCTGGTGTGCTGTGACTGGAGGATGGAGTTAAAGGGTTGAACGTGTGACACCAACCGCCAGCTCCGTGCCTTGGTTGATCTTGTTTGGAAATTTGCTTTGGAAATGTGCTCAGCTGAGTCAAGTGAGAGCTAAGAGCAAAGAAAACCCTCTCCCATCACAAGGCTGGACCAGTTTCCATCTCTCCTCTCTAGTGCTCTGGAAAGAGGAGTGAGAGTCACAGAGCTCTGGGTCCCAAGGTGAGAGCCAGCACCACAAACAGGCACTGATGACCAGAACTTACAGCCTGAGAGACTGGTAAAGCATCCCTGTCCTCAGAGCTCCCCTTCATTTAACAGGGGTAAAGTGGGAATATTTTACCAAAATTCAGCCACTTTAAATAACAGCTACTTAATATGAAACAGGACAGCTATAAAGGCAAAGCCAAATCAATAAATTTGCATTATTCCTGAATTGCAATTTAATAAACAAATAAGTTAAATCATTCCAAGAGTTAGCAAGGACACTGGCCTTTTAATTCCTATGGTGAGATGTAAGGAGATGGATATTTCTGTAATTAGAAGGCAACATAGAATACTTTCACTCAGGACAAATCTGTAAGTGGAGGGTAGTAAAAATATTTAAATATTTGAGCTAGGAAAATGTAGCCTTAAAACTAACTGCAAAGTTTCTGCTTTGGACATTAGTTATTTTGTGCTGACCTATGAACACAGGCTTGGGTTTGTTCAGGCTGGAGAAGAGACAGCTCCAGGGAGACTTTAGAGCACCTTCCAGTACCTAAAAGAGCTACAAGAGAGCTGGAGAGGGGCTTTTTACAAGGGCAAGTAAAGTGGGAATGACTCTGAACTGAGAGAGGGCAGGGTTAGAGTAGATATGGGTAAGGAATTCTGTACTGTGAGGGTGCTGAGGCACTGGACTAGGCTGCCCAAAAAGTTGTGTGTGGCCCATCCATGTCCAGGCTGGATGGGGCTTTGAACAACCTGGTCTAGTGGAAGGAGTTCAGGCCCAGCCCTGTCTGTTGCAAGGGGCTTAGGCCTCGATAATCTTTAAGGTGCCTTCCAAGCCAGTCTGTGAGTTTTCTTTTCTTTTCTCCATCCTGACAAGGGGTACCTTGGGCTCTCGTGGGTTGTAGGAGACAATGGTGTCTGCTGGTGGCTGGACTTTATCCTCCAGACGATTTATTGTCCTTGGCCCAATGGCTGCTAAACTGCACTTCCTACTATTAAAAGTTATTTATTGGTTTGCTTTTTAAATTGTCAGTGTTCTAGCCACAGCAGACTCCTTCACTGGCATTACTTACTGAAAGGGAGGCACAGGGTCTGCTCTCTGCTACCTGTGCAGTCTGTCCTGGGTCTCAAGTGGGATTGCCTCTGCCTGATTGTTATAGCCTTTGTGTTACAGACTCTCTCATTTTTCATAAAATAGAGTTTGGAACCCATGCAGAATGTTTTCCTTCTTAAGATTGTTTTCTTTTGTTCTTTTTTGGGCTTTTGGTTTGTTTGTTTGTTTTTGTCTGGTTGGATTTTTCTTTTGCTAAAAACCAAGAGACCATTTAAAAAAGATAAATATTTGAAGAGTAAAATTAGGCAAATCTGTGAAATCAGCTGGGTTATGTTTTCTGTTTGTTGTTTTCCTCTCTGACTCATTTCACAGTGGTGAAGTGACTTTAATTCTACAATCAGGCCCATTGGCCAAGAGCCTAAGGGCTCATAAAAATCTTTAACAGGCATCTGTGGTAAAACCTTGGCTTCATTTAGCTTATGAACACTTCTTTCCCATTTATATGTTGCCTGCAGGAAAACACTAATGCCCCAACAGGTTAGAGAAACTCTAGAAATTCCGCTGGAGTTCCCTCCCACAACCAGGTTGGTGTGTGGCTTCTCAGGGCAACGAGGGCTGACTCCTGTCGCTGCTGGACAAACAGTTCCTCAGCGTGGTGGAGCAGATCTTTTTACAGGATTTTTCACTTTAACAGGATTCTCTCTGCCCAGCCATTAGCAAAATATTGCCACTCACTCAAAATTGCTCATCTTCCGTGTAAGCAGCAAAATGAAGGCTTAGATTTTCTATTTTACTTTTTTCCTCAAAATTTCCAGTGCAAGTCACAGCATATTTGTGAACTGTGATCCCTTAAAATACCTAATACCTCCTTTGATGTCCCTCTTCCAAAGCACAACACACAAGAGAGAGCCCAAATCTACCTCTGAGTCTCTGCCTACCCTGCTAAACTGTCT